CCCAGCGCGGGGCTAGCTGTGCTCACACTGCCGATTCTTCGCCTCACCTCCTCTTTGGCCCAGTAGGCCGGGAAGGGGGGAGGCAGCTTGACGGAGCCATGGCGCATCTGCCCTCGGTGAGGCCTTTTCCTTTCTCTGCGGTGTTTTCCGCTGGGATGGGAAATGCTGAGATGGGCTTGGGCTGGGTGTGTTTTCTCAGCCAGTCTGTGCTGGTGTGTGGGAATTTGGGGGGAGGGGGGAGTCATTGTATTTCATTATTTAGCATCATAAATATTATTGTATTAAGTAACTTCATTTGATTTTGTATTGCTCTGCTATTAATATTGTATTTGAAGTTGTATCTGCTTTGAGCATAGTATTGCATTTATACTGATTTTGTATTTTGCTAGTGTAAATTTTAGTATTCTTTAAAAGAAGCAACAACAGATTTCCCAGTAGCCTTATTTGAATTACATACTGCTCTAAAAATTTCAGCTGTATTTGATTACATTTAATTTTAATATTTTTATTAATATTTTACTGCTCAGTTTCTGGTTATTTTAGAGAATTTTTGGTACTATATTTACAAACTAATACACAAAATACTACATTATGTATATAATACTTTTATTTCTGCCTCAGTGGTCCCCAAAATACTTTTCCTATTTTTGCTGGTCCACAACTGTAAAAGACTGAAAACCAGTGCTTTAAAGGACTCCTTTTCTCATTAGAGTCACTTGCTATGGGACTTCGTTTGTCATTGTCCTGAGTTTATTAAAATTGGCTTTCCTAAAATCCAGGGTACCATGTTTGGCTGCCCTGGGCTTTTGCTTCCTTTAGGATCAAGGATTCAAGTAAGGCGTGGTCACTGCCCCCCCCCCCCCGGAGTTCCTGTTGCTGCCACTCTGTCCACTAGGCCAGGGGGGCCCCAAACTTTTTCTGCAGGGGGCCAGTTGACAGGTGCTGGCGGTGGGCACAGGCTGCCAAGGTGGTGCCGGGGGGGGCAGGGTGTGTGCTCACACATGCACGTGAGGAGAGGCAAGGATGGGGGGCCTGCAGGGCGAGGTGCCGGCTTGCTCGTGAAAAGAGCATTTTCTCTGATGGAGTCCAAAATGATCTCCTCACGAGCAAGCCGCGTGCCCACCCGGGGAGTGCAAAACCTGTGGGGCGGGCCGGTTAAATGGGCATGGCGGGCCAGAAGTGGCCTGTGGGCCTTAGTTTGAGGACCCATGCACGAGGCCTTCCCTGTGGGTTAGGACCAGGTTAAGGATATTGCATAGATGTGTGTGGTGGAGGTGGGAATTGTAATCAGTGAGGTAAGAAAGAATTTAAACCACACTGTTAATGGTCAGTTGCTGGCAAGACACATAATGTTACCAGCAGCAACTGTATTATGAACGACCACTGTTTACAAAGTGGTAGTTATTATTTTACTTTCTGTGTTTGACTTCTTCTGACCTCATTGTTTACAAATTGAGCCCCTTCCCCTCCACCCCCACGTACTGTATCTAAAACCTGAAATGCTGAAACCCTCCGTACTGTGTGCTACCGTAGGCTAGCACAGCTACCCTTGGTGGGGCGGGGGGACCGAAAAATGGCCCTTTGGAGGCATAGCAGCAGACCCCAGGGTGAGATTGCAGAGCTGGAATGTATCAGCAAGACTGATGATATTCAACATTTAAATCATTTTAAATCATATCTATCCATGTGCTACACTTTGCATTCCAGGCCTTCTCTGGTGTGGTCTCCCTCGTGGAATGATTGTCCCAGTGCACCCCATGTGGCACCAATGTTCCCATCCTTTCTGATGCGGGTTGAGATGGCCCTCTGCTCCCAGGCACATAGTGGCACGTGTTGGGACAAGTCAGCAGTTTTAACTGTTGTGATTTTTTGAAACCAGAATTGTTTTAGTTGTTGAAGCTGTTTTAGTTTTTGCACAATTCCTTTTTGACCTCAGTTCTTGCATCACAAGCTGGAACTGAAATGGATTTAATTGACATTGTTTCCACTTGATGTACACAAGACATGCAGGATCGTGAAGATGCAAAATACTTTCTTGGGGCACAAAACTGAAGTAAACAAAAGCCAACTTTGCTTCTTTACTGAGACCTTCTTAAATATGCTGTGGTGCATCTCCTTGCCTCCAGAAATTACATCCCTCAGGAGTTGAGCAGAGTTCATCTGGGTGCAGTTTGAGACCACATGATCTCAGATTATATACAGCCGTTTCTGGAAGGCCCCAGAGTTTGGTGGAGAGGAAATCTAAACAACAGCAATAGGGAAGACCAAGGAGCTGTCAAAACAACTCCTAGATAAAGTTGTGCAGAAGCACCAGTTAGAATTGGGTTATAAAAATACTACAAACTGAACATTCTTACAAAGTGGGGAAAGTGTGGCTCAACCATGACTCTGCCCAGAGAAGGCCATTCTCCAAAATACAGTGACTGGGATGCATTCAACTTCCCGGTAACTCTGAAGGAGGTGGAGAGATCTGCAGCTGAGATAGGAGACATTGTCCAAGGCTGGCTATCAACCGGGCACTCCACAAAGCTGGGTTTTGTGGATAAGTGGTGAGAAGAAAGCCATTGCCGAAATCAACCTGTTACCAAAGCCATTATGGAGTTTGTGGGAAGGCAGGTGGGAGTCACAGCAAACATGTGGAAAGGGGTTCTCTGGCCTGATAAGACCAAAGCTGCACTTTTCAGCCTTACTGCAAAATGTTACATACGGCACAAAGTGCTCGTTGCTCTGAGAACGCTGTTCCCTAGTGAAGCAGGAGACGAAAGCACAGTGCCACGTCGTGCATGACTTTATTGGCTACGTTAAGTTGCGTTTTGAAAAACTTCTGAAGGTTCAAGGTAAATGACTGATTTGGACAAAGATGCTGGAATGGTGCATGGTCCCAAATGTCTAATAGCAGTGGAACTCTCTTGCAGAGGCAAATTATCACAAGGGCTAGAGCTGCAGAAGCACCAAAAGCTATGACATTCCCACTGTGGTGCTGTTCTCACCATCCCACACAGCTCTTTTAATCCTGTTTCATATCCAGTTGCCAAGTTTTTCCTGCAATTTGCTGCATAGAATATCCAGTTTGGATTGATAATGAAAAAGTTATGCCCATTTTGCAAAGGCAGACAGCACAGGGCATAAGCAGACGTGCCCCCCCAGAGTGGAACAAGATGCACCATGTTTTGAGCCAGTGTATTTTATTGTGTTGTGCTTTGCACACACCACTGGTTCCATGCAGGCAGTGGACACAGGAAGGGACTTTCCTGACAACAGGGAAGACATCCTTTCAGGCAGAAGTATCTTTGATAGGGATCCATTCTGCCACACTGTAGTGGATTATCATGTGTAGCAGGGTGCTGAACAGCATCGCCGGTTGCAGGTGACGCGGGCAACCCCCCTTGCTCTTGTAGTTGGTTTTGGGCATTGGAGCCTGCAAACTTCTTGGATTGGAAAAATGCTCATATTGCCCCATAGCACTGATGATGTGGTATTTCACAATGCCTTCCAGCAGCAGGCTTTTGTGTTTTTCGTGACCCCTGAAGGAGTGTGCGCCATGATCACATCGTCATGGAAAGCATAGCAGGTGGTTCTTACGGGTCTTTGAAAGCTTCATGGTAACAGCATGGAATGGGTAGCAACACAGTGGCTACAAAACCGGTAATCCTTCAATTTAAGTGACATACAACACCGTCAAAGTTATGCATTCAAAACAACTTGGGTAGTAGGTACAGCAAAGTCGTACCAAGTGTCCCTTCCCCTTCCCCATGCATGTAGGATGTGGGCATAATGTGCTCATAATGCTTAAATCTAGTCAGCATTCCAGCGGTTTCAGTTTCCAAATGGTTTTCGGTGGTTGCGTTGCAGTAGGCCAGGGCGAGGTAAGCAGGCCAGAAACAGGCACGGCAGAGCCTGCCTTCAGCAAGAAGGGTGTCGCTGTTCATATGCAAGCCAAAGCTACACAGGAAGAGGCAGCCCTTCCTATGGATGATGCATCTGACAGAAAGACCAGGACAGAGAGTTTCCAGGCTATGAACTGGGTCTGTTCGACAGTTTGCAGCCGCATCAGAGCAGGCTGCGACCCCTTGTTTCGTGCTGCTGCCAGTCTGTGCTTCAATACGATCCTGCAGCCTCACGGCTCGTGGCTGCTCCCTGTTGCTGGCTCCATGCCACAGTATTCCTTTTCTTACACAATTCCATTCTTGATGTGCGCTGCTGCACTGGGCATCATAACCAGCACGTTCAGTTGGGATCAGGATTTCTTTGTTGCTTGGTGGATGCAGGCTTCATGTCCACAGTGTTATGTCTACAGCCTCTGTCTGCAGTGAGGAGGAACTGTGACAAACAGATGCATTACATTAATGCAGTATAATATAACTTCAACAGATTTTCATTCTTCATAATTGTCAACAGTATGTGCATGATGCAAATCTAATGGCATAACTCTGAAACTTGTTTATTGCACTGTCATCTTCCTCCTTTAATTTCCCCCCGTTGTAACTTCTCAAAAATCAGCCTGCTCTGGCTATTCCATGTATAAAAAGGTAGGAAATATGTTGGCTTCTAAATATATAACAGCCTTGAAATAGCTGTGTGGGAGGGCCAAAATGGTACTGTAGCCCAAAGTCACATATTTGTGATAATTTGGATGTGTTTGTTACTCAAACAGAATTGATCTTTCAAAGACAGAGTTCCACTGCTGTTAGATTTTTCATAGCACAACTCCTTATGTTTGTTTTGGTGTATTATACATCAAGTTTGGTTCATTTTTGTGGGCAGCAGCATTTGACCATGTAACCTTTTCCTGCCGTCTCAAAAGCACAGTCAAGATACAAGCTCACCACCATGGTTTACAAAGTGGGCTGCGTTCCCTGTGCTTTTGCATTTCAACTGAAGTGTGATTCTTCAAGAAAGAAATGCAAAGAAAGAGGGGCACTTCCGCGTTGCCTCGTGCAGGGGAGGTGTGGCTGGGGCCCTTTCTCAACCAAGAAGGCAGCTGGTCTTTGTCTGTGCAGGTCTTGGACCCAGAGCTGGAGATTGCAGACCTGGCCTTCCCCCCATCCACCATCTCGGCATCTTCCCTCAAGATGCAGGTATTTTATTTTTATTTATTTTTCGATTTAAATCCTGCCTTTTTCCTACAAAGGGCTCAAGGCAGCTAACATCTCCTCCTCCATCTTATCCCCACAACAACAGCCCTGTGAGGTAGGTTGGGCTGAGAGTCTGTGACTGGCCCAAGGTCACCCGGTTGGTCCCATGGCCGCGCGGGTAAGCTGTAGAAAAGCTGGCAAGTTCTGAAGAGCATCTGGCATGGCTGGTTTCTCCTGCCTTAGAGAAGTTCGAAATTTTCTGTGTCCTCAAGGGCTGGTTAGGATTGCAGTGAGCAGTGGCCACTCAGGAAATTCGTGGTTTCCAGTCAAGGCTGAAGTGTTGTGGGCAAAAGGACACAGGTGAGAGAGGGACGTAGTTCACAGGGGCTGAAGTGCTGATGGCAGAAGCCAGAAATCCAAGGGGTATGAGTTTGCATGGGGGAAGTGGGGGTTAGAGGGCCTAGTACTAAGAGAATGTGGACCTGGTGGAGTAAAATTCAGTGTGGTAGAGCTAATCTTGCGCACATCACCCGCAGAAGGGAACCAGTAAGGATGATGGTACTGTCTCCAGTCAGATCTTAAATATAAAATGAGTTTAAAAGTTGGCAGCTGTAGCTGAAGGAATGAAAACTAAACCTGGCAATATCCTACAGCCCTTAAAATGTACTGTGTGACTGTATTTAAATTACTGTGTACAGTTCTGGTCAATGCATGTAAAAAGACATTGTAGAGTAGGAAAAAGTGCAAGAGAGCAACAAAACTGATCAAGGGCTGGAGAAAAGAGAGTCACATCTGTGATCAGCAAGCTTAGGAAAAAGGCAAATAAAGAGGTACACAGTGCAAATGTATACAGATATGCCATTTCCCCCCCTTACATACTCCAGCGGAAGGAGTCATCCCATCCCACCAAGCTGATTGGTGGAAGATTCAGTCCAGATGAAAGGAAGGACTTCTTCACATAGAACTTAGCTAAGCTGTGCAATTTACTTCCACAAAAGGAAGCCCTTTGCTAAAGTCACCGAAGCAGACTTAGGGGGCTCCCGGAGAATCTCTGTTGGGCAGGAGCCTTCTTATATAGTTGTAAACAATCTTGCCCAGCAGGCCAGGGAACAAAATTTGTGGAAGCCCCAAACTCCTCCGGGCAGTATATGCAAAATCTCCAAAGAGGGAGAAAGGGCCTTCATATGGAATGTCTTTTTTGCTTCCTTTCATTGCCTTTCTGTGCTGCCTTTGTGGAACTGACCAAAGTCCTTTACAAGCATTTAAGAGACAAAAGCCATAAATAAGCAACCACACATGAAGAACTACCTTAAGAATTAGCTGAGGGGCGGGGGGGCGGGTCCGAATTTCACGCACAGAGCAATGGGACCTGAGCCTCTAGTGGCTAACTAGGGCTTTTTAGCCTTGAAAAAAGAGGAGTAAGAAGGGACATGATGGAGAGGGAGAGAGTCATGCCTGGTGTGAAGAAAGCAGATGAGGAGCTTTCCCCTCTCCTAGAAGAGCAGGACCCACAAGGATTGTCCCAAGAAGCTGATGGGTGGAGGATTCCAGAAAGGGAAGACTTCTCCACACAGAATTCGCTTTCGTGAGATGGAGTGAGGGCCTCCAATTTGTAGGGACATTGGGCAGATTCCTGGAGGAGAAGGCTATCCAAGGCTGCTCTGTGCTCCCTCCAGTATCAGAGGTGATTGGCCCATGAGCAGGAGGGTGCTGTTGTACTCCCCTCTTACTTGTAAGCACCCTAAAGTTCGCTGACTGGCCACTGTGGGAACAGAATGTTGAATTAGATGGACCTGGAGTCTGATCCAGCATGAATCTTCATCTGTTCTCATCTAGCGCCCCCTGTGACTTTCTGGTAAGGTTTGCCCAGGTGGCCGAAGAAGAAAGAAGGTTGAATGAATTCCTTGCTAGGCATCTGGGGCACGCTTCAGCTTTTAGAAGAAGCAGTATCAAGGAAAAAAGATTGGCCTGTAGTAAATGAAGCAAAGGAGGCGACCAGTGGCCAGTTCAGCTGTGGCGATGTAAGGAGAATCGCAGGTGCAGACCTCAGGAGGATGCGGCCTTTTTGAAAGCTTGGCACAGAGGGCCTTCTTTTGAGTGTGGCCCTGCCAAGCTTCTGGGAACACAGTGGAGCTTCTCAGTTTAGAGGAAAGAGAAAAGGATGGTTTGTGAAATTATTAATGGCTTAGAGAGAATAGACTTTCTCACTAGCCAGCAATGCTCTGATTTCCCTAAGGAACACACTTGGGTAGATGCCTTGTGCTGTTGAGAGAGACCAGGTTGTCTTTAGTCAAAGGAACTGAGCCTTTCGGCTCGTTGGAGTTTCTTCCCCTGATTCCCAGCAGAGAAGTGCACATAGCGCTCCTGTAGCTAGAAATGGCCGGCAGAGGCTGCAGAGAAAGCCCACATCCTCCTTGGAGAGGAGGGAGGCATCACAGAGACCATAGCTGGTGCTCCAGTGCTCAGGTTTGTCCTCCTCAGCCACCTGCCAGTGCTTGACGCTTCCTTCTTGGGCTGCAGGACAAGGAGATCCGTGCTGTCTTCCTCCGCCTATTTGCACAGTTGCTCCAGGGCTACCGATGGTGCTTGCATATCATCCGGATCCACCCAGAGCCAGTCATTCGCTTTCACAAGGTGAGGCTGGGATGAGGTGGTGGAACGATGCAGGCCTGGCTGCTGTGGGCTCATCACCAGGAGTAGGGGAGGTGGGGGCTTTTAACGGTCTTGTATGTTCCCTTTTTGAAACATAAATATTATTTAAAAGAGTTATATCCTACTTTTCCAACAAGAACTGATAAGCTGCTTGCAACGGTTAAGATACCACAATCTCATCTTAAACTGTGTGTGTGTGTGTGTGTGTGTGTTTGTGTGCGCGCGTCTGCACTGACACAAAAATAACATGCCCATGAAGACAGGCTCGGGAGGTAAGAAATCTGACTCAGGCTCCCCGTGTCCCAGTCCATGTCTGTGGCAAGACGGGATCTTGCCAGGCCAGGGAGGCCTTTGCTGCTGGACCGACAGCAGGAGGGGTGGGGAACGCGTGAGCTGCCTGGGCAGTTTCCTCCCTGGGCTCTTCTGCTCCCTCCCCCTCCATGGATGCGATATGGAGAAAGGGTTTTCCTTCAGGGCTTAGGGAATGGGGCCGCTCAGGGGTCCTCTTCGTCTTTAGGCTGCTTGATCACTTGGCCACTTCGCAAAGACCTTTAGTTAGATGGAACTGCTTGTCTTCCAGGAGTATGGATAGCACAGTGGGGGTAGTTGTGGCATATGCCGTTGTCGCGGATAAGCACCCTGTGTCTGTCTGCAGCTTGGAGGAGTGCCATGGTTTGATGGTTGTTAGCCTTTCTTCCAGCATCTTTGCTCAGGTGCCTCTGGACTCTGGAGAAACCCCGCTTACAGCCCATCCCAAAGGGATTTGCCCACTGATACACACGCTTCAATACAGAGACAGTGTGAGGCGCGTATCCTTGCGCGGGGAGCTTGTTTTGCTGACTGTGGTCTCCTCTATTTTGATTTAGGCAGCCTTTCTTGGACAGAGGGGCCTGGTGGAAGATGACTTCCTTCCAAAGGTGCTGGAGGGCATGGCCTTTGCTGGGTTTGTGACAGAGAGGGGACCCCCATACCGGGATACAGACCTATTTGATGAGGTGAGGTGCTCCTTGAGGAGATCTGCTCGGTCCCAGCATTCTGTGCATGGGAGGAAAGCCTGACCCTGCCTTTTCACCCTCTCCGCCTCCTTTCTCTTAGCTGGTGGCCAATGAAGCGACCCGGATGCAAGCAGATGAAGGCAACAAGGCCAGGGTGCTTTGGCACATCAAGGAACTAGCAGAGCAGCTGTACAAAAACGTATGTTTGTGCTGGGGTGGCCACCTGAGCCCCTCTGGGTTCCCAAGGCGGGGAGCACTCGGACCCCTCGCCAGCAGCGGGGACCTCCTGTCCTACACAGGGAGGACAGACCGTTCTTCCTCCGTCTCGGCACGGTGCTCCTCGGTCCACTGCCACCGTGGGAGTGTGCTTCTTGGGAGGGTCCTGCACATGCCAGAGCCCAGCCTGCTCAGCAGCGGGAGGCAAGCTCACCCCAGGATGGAAATGTTTAGGCTACTGTAGGTGACGCATACACAGATTCATGGAACAGACAAATAAACACGGAGACATCTTACCAACCTACTTGAGGGGTATGTGACATTATTCATACATGAGTTTTTTTGGTGCAAGAGCTGGTCACATGGGCAACATGTTACTGCCAGCACACGGTCCTGGCTGCCTTGAACAAAGATAGTGTGCTGTGTTGCTGCAGAGCCAACTCGATGGCCCTGATTCAGAGATTCAGATCAGTCCCATCTGGGGTGCTATTGTGGACAAAAAAAGAAGGCCCTCTTGCTCGTTGCCTAACCATGAGAGAGACAGGCAACACCAAGTAATAGTATATAAAAAAGGACCCTTTATTGTAGGTGCACGCTAACAATAGAGAGTGAGCCCATCTCCTGTTGGGACCAGCTGCTACAGTCATCATACAAAGTGAATTTACATGCTTAGCTTTTTGCACTGTTTAGTGACAGAAAACATCACAACAGAAAACATCCAGTTATTTTTGAATATGTACACTTCTTTTTAGGACATCTGGTGTGAAAATACCTGCCTTTAAGATTTAAGAAAGATGCAGGAGAATTAGAAAGGTTCTAGAGGAGGGCAACAAAAATGATCCAGGGCTTGGAAATGCTGCCCTGTGAGAAGAGATTGAGAGAACTGGGCACGTTCAGCCTTAGGAAGAGAAGACTGAGAGGGGACATGATATCCCTCTATAAGTGCCTCAAAGGCTGTCACAAAGAGGGAGGTCAAGCTCTCTTCTTGCTGATGCCAGAGTGTAGGGCATGGAATGATCAAGTCAAGTTTCGACAACCCAGATTCAGGCTGGACATCAGGAAAAGCTTCCTCACTGCCAGAGCAATACGACAGTGGAACCAGCTGCCCAGAGAGGTGGGGGCTCTCCCACACTGGAGACATTCAAAAAGCAACTGGACAGCCATCTGAGTGGGTTGGTGTAAATTGATGTCCTGCAGCAGCAGGGGTTGGACGCAATGGCCCCTTCCATCTCTGCTATTCTGTGATTCTATGCCTCCAGGCTTATCTTTACAAATTCTGACCCTCTTGAAATTATTTATATTTGTGACCCTCTTAGATCTCTCTGATAAAATGCTAAGTAACTGAGCCTTGTTGTTTGGTCATCAGGAAAAATGTAAATTCTTCATAGGTGAACAACTAGTGCTCCTTATTGGCTGCACTTCAATGAAGTAAGACATATGGCAGCTGAGAAAGTTGATGCAATCTAGATTTCCATTAGCAGAAGCGGAGTGTCCAGATCACAGAAATGAATAGTTCCACTATATTTTGTATTAGTCAGGCCACATCTGGAGTACACTGTCCACTACTGGATACCCCATTTTAGGAAGGACAGAGAAGAGCAACCAGGAATGTGTGGGATCTGGAAACAAAATCTTCTGCTAAATGGCTGAACAGCTGGGGTCCATTTCAGCTAAAGAAAATGAGGTTCAGGGGACAATAGCTTTCTGATAGCTTCAGCATTCTGAAGGACTGCCTTGCAGAAGATAGCGCAGAGCTGCTCTCTGATGCTCCAGAAGTCAGGACTAGAGCCAATGGGTAGAAGTTTCAGGGGAAGGGGCACTTCCAAATGGGAAGAGCAGTTTGACAGTGGGACAGTCTGCCTTGCAAGGAGGTGGGTCCTCCTTGATTTGAAACATTTCCATGACCACTGGGTGCTGTTTGTTAGGAATGCTGTGGTTGCATCCTGTGCTGCAGATCTTGGTGTTGGGGTTGGACTCAATGACCTCCCAGGTTCTTCCAGCTCTGTGATTCTGTGCTTGGCTTTGTTGGAGCAGGAGAACCCCTACCCTGCTGTGACCATGCACAAAGTTCAGAAGCCCACGGAAGGCTGCCACCTGCGCTTGCACCAGAGGCCTTTCCCCCATTTGGATGAGGGGACCATCCAGTGGATCATCGACCAGGCCACAGCCAAGCTGCAGACAGCCCCTCCTGCTGTGAAGGTGGAGAAGAAGTGCATGGTTCCTTCGGGGCCTCTGCTGGGTATGCTCTGTGTGTCTCTTACCTCTGCTGGTGGTGCTGCTCCCACTGTGGGTACCATTGCCTTAATCTCGCTTTGGTCTCCAACTGGATTTGTCTGTTCCACTGGCGGACCTCCTGGAGGCAGCTGGTCTCTTGAGTACGAAGGAACACCTTCCCCACCTCGGGGTGCTCTTGAGTTGGATGCAGGGACGCCGCACTCTTCCTGCCTTGCTTGACCTGGAAGACCTTGAGGCAAGGACTCTTGGCTCAGGAAGGGAGTAGCTGGCACAAGCCCAGGGTGGGGGGCTCTCTCTGCTTCAGTGTGCTGTACTCCTGCTTGCCCAGTTGGCTGGCTGAATCCAGTGGCCAGTGAGGCAGGGATGCCCATGGGTGCTGCGCCCTGGCAGCCTGCTTTCACTGGGGTGCTGGCTGTTGCCCTGCTGATACCCCCCGGCACATCGCATCTCCTTGGCTCTCCCATCTAGGCTGGCAGGCAGCGTGTTCTGTTTTGTTCCAGTGTGGATCACTGAGGGCCTGCCCAGGAGGAGTGGCTGGGCGAAGGTCAGCCTTCCATGGGTCGGGTTGTGATGGGCGTGTCTCCTCCCCTCCCCTCCCCCGCCCCACTGCAGGGGTTCTTATGGAGCGCAACGGAGTTGTGCTGGCCAACAGTGCCCGCCGACTGGAGGTGGTCAGGAACTGCATCTCCTACGTCTTTGAGGGCAAGATGCTGGAGGCCAAAAAGGTGAGACCCCAGGTGCTTTTCAGCCATTTGGCTGGTGGGGAGGCAAAAGATCTCAAAAGTCTTCATTGTTGAAAGCTGAGTTACATTTTCAAGTTGACCGAAACAGGAAAATATTATTTAGAACAGAAGACTATAATACGATGATGATATAAAGCATGTGCATGTATTAAGACTCCGTCACTAACCCTTTTCCCATAACTCATAAAATAGAGATGGTATTTAATCATGCAAAACTGGAAATAGAATTCAAGAAAGTGCTGTATATTCGTCATTTCTCTACAAAACCCGCTTGCTAGATGCTGTGTCGGTGCTCAGGGCAATAGCAGAAAAAAATTGGAGGAGGTGTGAGAAGATGATTAAAATTAAGTGGGCATGTACATGGTAGGCGTGTCATGAGTAGAGCTGGCTGGAGCCAGGGGTCAGACTAGATGGCCCGGGAGGCCCCTTCCAACTCACTCTGTTTCTGTGTTCTAAGTCTAGTATGTGGAGATGCTGCAAAGCAAGGTGGAGAATCTGTTTGAGGCAGAAGGCTGAATTGCACCCAAGAGGCTCACATAGGTCACATGCCATCAGGTGGTGTGTCCAGCTCTCCTCCCACCTAGCCCCCAATTCCACCTCTTCCCTTTTCGAATGATCTGCGCAGATTAGCTGAGAAGGGGGTATTTCTTTTGTTGGTATCCAACAGATGCAAACACTCATTTCAGAACAGGAGCTGGCAGGAAACAAGAGTGTTTCCCTGTTACATGGAGGGAGAGGCTCCCTGCCTGGAAAAGAAGCCACCTGGCTGAGGTTTCCCATGCCTGGCGTCAGAAGGCATGTAGGCCCAGGTTGTGCTGGGTTTTATAGAGAAGCACTTGAACTGAGGTTTTGGAAACAAAACTGACTAAAAATATCGGCGCCTTGTATCCACCGGCGAAGCACAGCAGTGATGGCAGTGTCTGAACTTTCCAGACTGTCTGTCAGGGCAACCCTGCGTAGGGCCTGCTGGTTCTGGAAACATGCATGAGCCTTGAAAACCCTTCCTGGAGGGGCAGCAGTTGCAGACAAAATGTCTTTGTTATGTTGAGAGTTAGCATTTCCCTGCCTCTGTCAGGCTCCTTTACCAACCGCTCACTAAATTGTCTGTTGTGATGTGCCATCAAGTTGTCTCCACTTATGGCACCTCTCTGAATGTCCTGCCCATGACAACTCTGTTGAACTCTTCCACGCTGGGGGCTGTGGCTTTCTTTAGAGAGTCTGTGCTGCTCGTTTTGGGGCTTCCCTTCTGCCTTTGGCTTTCCCTAACATGAGTGTTTCTCTGGTGAGTCTTGCCTGCCGGACTAATTAAAGAGGGAGAGTATCAGGAAGCATGAGGATGGCAGCCTGTGGAAAGTATCAAAGTTAAACCGATTACTTATTACTTCAGCTTATTTTACATAATATCTCTCTGAATTTTGTTTGGAGCTCCTCCAGAGAGGCCTCCCTCTGCCTCGGTCCGCTGGCTGCCTGCACCAGGCATGCCTGAGCCCCTCCCAGGCTTCCTTTATGACTGTGAGAGCAGTAGCCAAGCTGCGGTTCAGGAAATGAAAAAGCAAGACTCTCTCTACTGTATGCTTAATTCAAAGGTCTGTGCTTAGTGCATGGACTTGTCCTGTCACTTTGCATGGATCTCACTGGATGTCCTAAAATAGTGCTAAATGACTATTTTGCTAGTGATGCTAGATAGGGAAGGGAGGCTGACAGCCACACAACATGACTTCCGCAAAAACAGGTCCTGCCAGACAACCCTTGTGGAATTCTATGACAAGGTTTCGAGATGGCTAGATGGAGGGGATGCAGTGGATGTGGTATACCTGGATTTCAGCAAGGCCTTTGACGAAGTGCCCCATGATATCCTGGTGGAGAAACTGAGGGGTTTTGGGATACACCAAAGCACTGTCCGGTGGATTAGGGCATGGTTGACTGACCGAAAGCAGAAGGTAACCATTAGCAGGGAATCATCGGGATGGCGGCCAGTGACAAGCGGGGTCCCCCAGGGCTCTGTCCTGGGGCCCATCCTGTTTAAGCTTTTCATAAATGACATGGAAGAAGGGGTGAACAGTCTGCTGATCAAATTCGCAGACGACACTAAAACTGGAGCAGTGGCCACAACTGAGGAGCAGGTACTCCAGTTCCAAGAGGATCTGGACAGACTATGGAAGTGGGCAGGAGACAACAGGATGGCATTCAGTGTGGGGCATAGGAATAGGTGTCATAAGTACAGGTTAGGGGACAAGTGGCTGGAGAGCAGCACTTGTGAAAGGGACCTCGGGGTGCTGGTTGACAACAGGCTAAACATGAGCCAGCAGTGTGATGCGGTGGTCAAGAGGGCAAACGCCACCCTTGGTTGCATAGCCAGAAGTGTGGCTTCTAGATCGAGAGAGGTATTACTACCACTCTACATGACTCTGGTGTGCCCGCAACTTGGAGTATTGTGCTCAGTTTTGGGCCCCTCATTACAGAAAGGATATAGCCAGGTTAGAGTCAGTGCAGTGTAGGGCCCCAAGGTTGGTGGCCGGGTTGCGGGGGATGGGATATGAGGCAAGACTGAGGGAACTGGGTCTCTTCAGCCTGGAGAAGAGGAGACTCAGAGGGGATGTGTTGGCGACATACAGGTATGTGAGGGGATGTCACATGGAGATGGGTAGAGCCCTGTTCTCCCCTGCAGAGAAAGGCAGGACGTGCTCCAATGGAGCCAAGCTCAGGGAGCCAAGGTTCCATTTGGATGCCAGGAAGCATTTCCTGATGGTTAGGACCCCGAGGGTGTGGAATGGGCTTCCACAAGAGGTCGTTGAGGCCCCATCGGTGCGGATGTTCAAGGATAGGCTGGACATCCACATGGTGAGCATGTCGTGAGTGGAGCCGGCTCGTGCCAGATGTCAGATTAGATGGCCCAGGAGGCCCCTTCTGACTCTCTATGTTTCTGTGTCCTGAGGGAAGGCCACACATGGAACCTCTTTGGCCTGCCCTTGACCTTGCAGGAAAGGAGCTTCCTTCCGTCCCATCCTTTTAGCTTGAGACTTAGAAACAGGCGAGTCAGAAGGGGCCTCCCAGGCCATCTAGTCTCCAGCTCTGCTCATGTAACCCCCAACATGTGGTGGTCCTTCGGTCGCCCACATGCCGCTCTCCTACTGCTGAGCTTCGTACCTGACCTCTTGCAGCTGCTCCCTGCGGTACTCCGAGCCATGAAGAGTCGGGCTGCTCGGCACTGCCTGACACAGGAGCTGAATCTGCACGTGCAGCAGAACAGAGCCATGCTGGACCACCAGCAGTTCGACTTCATTGTCCGCATGATGAACTGCTGTTTGCAGGTTTGAGGCCGGGGGTGGGAGTGGGAGCAGCATCTTGGGGCTCTTTGGGGTGGCTCGCCACCAGCCTCTGCCGTCCTCACTGGCCACCTCCTATCTCGCCCACAGGACTGCAGTGCCGCAGATGAGCATGGAGTTGCAGCCGCACTTTTGCCGCTGGTCACCGCATTCTGCCGTGTAAGTAGCTCACAGCACTCCGCCTGTGGCCCAGGTGTCTGAGGATCATCTTGCCGGCCCCGTCTGCACCTTGGGAGTTGCTGAGGAGCCCAGCTGCTCCGGGATGGGAGGCTGTGGGGCTGTGATGGCAGGTCCAAAAACAAAAACGAAGCGGGGGACTTCCCTCCACTTGTCCTTTTTCCTGCACCAGAAACTCAGTCCTGGCGTCACCCAGTTTGCCTATAGCTGCGTGCAGGAGCACCTGGTGTGGACCAACCTCCAGTTCTGGGAGGCCATGTTCTACTGTGATGTGCAGAACCACATCCGGGCCCTTTACTTGGAGTCCGGTGAGGAGAACCATGTGGACCAGGTAAGACAAGGCAGGCGCCTGTCAGCCACGAGCAGAAAGGCAGGCGCTTGGCCCTCCTGCCCGGGGAGGAGTGGCCCAGGGCCTCCTGGCCTTTTCTGTGGAAGGCTGATCCTCCTCTGGCCCACCAGGTGGCTGAGCGTGCACCGCTGGAGGAGGGGGAGGAGGAGGAGTCGGCCCTGGAGATTGCAGCCGGGCAGTGCCGCCTCTGGCCCACCATGAGTTGTGAAAAGCAGCAGGAATTGATCCAGAAGGAAGAGAGCACCGTCTTCAGCCAGGCGATTCACTACGCCAACCGCATGAGCTACCTCTTGCTGCCCCTGGACACCAGCAAGAACCGTCTCCTGCGAGGCTCGGGCCTCGGAGATGCGGAGAGTGTCAGCAATAGCTTCATCACAAACAGGTAGCTGGACTGGGGCCGAACTGTGGAGGGTGCGGGTCGCCTGCTTCAGTGCCTGTGCTGGAGCCGCTGCTGCCTGCCTGCTGCAGGAGAGAAGGGCTGGGCCCCAGCTGCATGCACGGCCAGCAGCAGCAGCAGCTGCTGCTTCCCAGCTGGGGGAACGGGTGCTTTGTCGGGGTGCTTCAAACCTGAGGGGTGCTCAGGCCTCTTGCTCATTTGCCAGTATCGCCGGCAGTGTGGCTGACAGTTACGACACTGAGAGTGGCTTTGAGGATGCCGAAAGCTCTGACGTGGCCAACTACGTAGTTCGGTTCATCAACCGCTTTGTGGACAAGGTCTGCACAGAGAGTGGGGTCACCAACGAACACCTCAAGGGGCTGCATGTCATGATTCCAGGTGTGTGTGCTTCTCCGTGCAGTATGCTCAGGGAGCATGCTTGGTGGGAGGGGCTCACTCTGAGGGGGCATGCGGGGCTGCTGACACTGCCATCCCCTCTTCCCAGACATTGTCCAGATGCACATTGAGACCTTGGATGCCGTGCACAGGGAGAGCAAGAGGCTCCCTCCCATACAGAAGGTGAGAGCCCCCCCCCCCCTTGGTAGGTGTATGCAGGGCTGGGAGCCCTGAACCGGGGGGTGGGCATTGGCAGCGGCAGCCTCTTACCCTGGTTGGAGGTGTCCGGAGTGGCCCACCCGGGCTGGGGCTGCCCTGGGTGCTCCTAAGAGGCGCCACCATGTTGCTGCTTGCAGCCCAAGCTTCTCCAGCCCGCCCTGCTGCTGGGAGAAGAAAGCGTGATGGACGGCCTGCGGGTGTACCTGATGCCTGATGGCAGGCAGGAAGCTGCTGGCGGGAATGTCGGCGGGCCTCCCCTGCTTCCTGCTGAAGGGGCCATCTTCCTCACCACCTACCGCATCATCTTCAAAGGCACCCCCACAGACCCGTTGGGTAAGGGCACCAGCTTTGTGGGGGGAAGTGCAGCAGGGTGTCCCAAGAGCACCTGTAGCTTTCTGGCGAGGATAGACTACAGTGGGGGCGGGGGGTTAGCTTCAGAAACAGACTGGCATGTAGGAAATGTATGAGACAAGGCAGGTAAAGCTGGAACTCACTGGGGTCTCCGTGATGCTGGGTAGGGGGAGATTCAGAACAAGCCAAAGGACAGGCTGGCATGTGGCACACAGTTCCACTAAGAAAACTAGACAGATCATGGGGCTGAGAAGCAGCTGCAAGCCGCATGGCTCTGGGCCACTTCCGCACCAGAGACTTCTCTGTAGCAGCTGCTGGGCACAGGAGGGGGGTGTGGGATTCATCCTCCTGTTCTGCTTGATGGACCTTCTGGAACCAGTGCTGGAGGAGATGAGCCCCTTTGGCTGCAGAGCTCTGCGGAGCTTCTGGGAGAGAGTGTTCTTCTCCAGAGCAGCTCCTTGCTGCAGGGTCTCCGTGGAGAGTCCGCTTTCCAGCAGGAGGCTGGCTGGCCCCGCTGCGCATCAGCTGTGCTGCTGTCTAGGCTGCAGCAGAGGACCCCTTTTGCTTTCCTCTGCAGTTGGCGAGCAAGTGGTGGTCCGTTCCTTTCCTGTTGCCTCCCTGACCAAAGAGGAGAAGATCCCAGTGCTGGCACAAGTAGACCAGTTCATCCAGGAGGGCTGTGCTCAGCTCCAGCTGCGCTCCTGCACGTTCCAGGTGAGCTTTGGTGGGGTCGTGGCAGGCTTGTCGAGTGTGCACACGTGGCTTGTGCCTCCCCCAGAGGAGGGTGTCTTGCCCCGTGCCCCGCTTTGAGAGCGGGTGCTCTGTGGGGGGGGGGGGCACAGCCGGCCCGCCAGTGGCCAGGGCCTGCCTTGGGTGCCTGGTGCAAGGCCTGAGCACAGCTCGCTCTGCTCTGCAGTTGCTGCGCATCGCCTTTGATGAGGAGGTCGCCTCTGAGAGTGTGGAGACCTTCCGGAAGCAGCTCAGCAAACTCCGCTACCCGCAGCACATCTCGGACACCTTCGCTTTCACGGTGGGCCTGTCAAACAAGCCCGCACTGCAGCCCAAAGCCAAGGAGAAGAACCCGTCGCTCAGGTGAGAGCAGACATGCCCCCTGCCCCTGGAGCACCACTTGCACTGGGTCAGGGAGGCCTCGCAGAGCCCCCGTGAGCAGGCATGCGAGGCAGTTCTGGGCAGGGGTGGCCAGTGTCCAGGCAGCAGTCAAGGGGCTTCTCCCCTGCGGTGGGTGGCTGCTGGGCTGCCAGCGCCCCCGCCTCCACGGCCCCTTTGGGCCTCCCTGGCCACGCCGTGATCCTCCTGTGGCGCAGAGGGAAGTGGGGTGCACCGCACTCCACTGCTGCCCCGGCCAGGGGATCCCTTGGGGCAGGGAGTGCCAGCCGAGGGCTTACCCTTGCGCCTCCTTCACCTGCCGTTAGTTGTTGCCCATGTCTCCCAGGGCAGGATGGGCACCTACAGTGGTGGGCCACCCAGGCAGCCAGGTGGGCCTCTCATTTGGTGGCTGCTGCACCTGCTGATCACTGTCCTAGCCCTCACCCTGCCCCCTGAGAAGACAGTTTCTCCTCCCCCCTCTTCTCACAGCTGTGCTTTCCCCTCACCTGGGCCCTGGCCTCGCACCTCAGGACCGCGTGGACCGGGTCTTGTGCCAAAGGCCCCCCTTCTTGTGCTCTTTGCTCTCAATGAGCCCAGGTGCTGGTGGACCGGTCAGGGTCCTTCACTGTCCGCAGAGGGAGAGTACCTGGTGTTCTCTCTTCAGCCCTGTGGTTGAACTGACCTATAGGTACTCCTCTTCCTCCTTTTAGAACTATCTCCAGGAACCTGGTGAAGAATGCCAAGAAGACCATTGGCCGCCAGTATGTGACACGCAGGAAGTACACTCCCCCTCCGTGGGAACACCGGGGAAGCCAGCAGCACTTCCCAGAGGATGAGGATGAGATCTCAGGTAGAGCCACCCTTCATGCCGCCATGGCTGTGGGCTAGCTGGAATGCCTCTGTGCCTGGCATGGCTGCCATGCCTGGAGGGGAGGGCTGTGTGGGGCTTCCAACGCCTTGCCCAACCCTGCCTTGGCCTCTGCAGTGTCTGAAGAAGTGGACAGAAGCACCTTGACTCCGTCCACCACCATCAAGCCCTCGGACAAGATGACCATGAGCCACTTGGTGGAGCGAGCCTGCTGTCGGGATTACCAGCGCCTGGGGCTGGGCACACTGAGCAACAGCCTCACCCGCTCCAAGAACGAGCCTTTCCGCATCTCGACCGTCAACCGGATGTATGCCATCTGCAGGAGGTGGGTGTGGCACCGGGCCGGAGCCCCCTCCCTCTGGGCACTGGGCCCATGCTTCCTGACACTTAGGCCCCCAGGGTGTGGAATGGGCCTCCACGGGAGGTGGTTGAAGCCCCATCGGTGAGGGTGTTCAAGGACAGGCTGGACTTCCACATGGTGGGCGTGTCATGAGCAGAGCCAGCTGGAACCGGGGGTCAGACTAGATGGCCCAGGAGGCCCCTTCTGATTCACTCTGTTTCTTCTCTTCTCAAGCCTGAACATGCCCATTTCTCAGAGGGCAAAGTTTCCACACTCTGGACCATTTTTGTTGCCTTCCTCTTGACTCTTTCTACTTTTCTGACATCTTTCTGAAATCTTGCTGCCCAGAACTGGACATAGTATTCTAGATGTGGTCTGACTAGTGAGGAGTTCAAAGGAACTACTTTGTGATTTGGAAGTAATGCTTCTACTAATGCATCCCAAAATAGCATTTGCCCTTTATTGCAGCTCCATTGCATTATTGGCCCATATTTAGTAATTGTCGACAATTACTCCAAGGTCTTTTTCTTTATCAGTTCTGTTGAGCCACATGTTCCCCATCTTGTATCGATGCCTTTGGTTTCTCTTTCCCAGGTGGAGGACTTGGCACTTGTCCCTGTTGAATCTCATTCTGTTGCTTTCAGCCCAGCGTTCAAGTTCATCAAGATTACCTTAGCTCTTCATTCCGACTTCTAGGGAGTTTGCTATTCCACCCAGTTTTGTATCATCTGCTAATCTGATTCTCTTTCCTTGTACTTCCTCCTCTAAATCATTAATAAAGATGCTGAAGAGCATCGGGCCAGGACTGAGCCCTGCGCCCTCCCACTCGTTCCCCCCCTCCAATCTGGGAAGGAGCCATTGATAAGCCATCTTTGTGTCCAATTTAGCAGCCAATTTTGGATCTACCTAACAGCTTTCTATCTAGTCCAGTGTTTGCTAATTTGCTTTTCAGAATGTTGTGGGGCACTATGTCAAAAGCTTTACTAAAGTTGAGGTAGATTATGTTCCTTCTGTCTGTTTGGGAGGTTACCAAGTCAAAAAATGAGATTAAAAAGGTCTGGCAGGATTTATTTTTGATAAATCCATGCTGGCTTCTGTTAAGCACTGCATTTTCTTCCAGATGCTGCCAATTTTTTTTTTACAGGGATTGATGTCAGACTAACTGGTCTGTAGTTCCCAGGTTTATCTTTTTTCCGCTTTTTGAAGATAGGGACAACGTTAGCCCTTCTCCAGTTGTCTGTCACTTCTCCTATTTTCCAAGTTTTATCAAAGATAATAGCCAGTGGTTCTGAGAGTTCCTCCACTAGCTCTCTTATTACTCAGGGATGGAGTTCACTGGCCCCTAGAGGTTTGAACGTGTTTATTCCGTTTGGTATTCCTTGAGCATTTGTCCGTCATTCTTGGGCTGCTGTCCCTCACATTCAGCTTGTACTTCCACTTGGTTGTAGATTTCCTTGTGGGAGAAGACTGAGGCAAAGTAGGAAATGCCCACCTCTGCCTTTTCCTTGTCATCTGTTATCACTCTTCCATCCACTTTAAGTAGCTGGACACCCTTCTCTTTCTCATGTCTTTTGTTCTGGATGTGTCTGAAGAAGGCTTTCTTGTTGTGCTTAGCCTCCCTTGCTATTCTCAGTTCATTTCCTGCTTTAGCCTTCCCGATGCTATTCCTGCAATTCCTTGCTATTTGTTCATATTCTTCCTTCGTGACATTGCCCTACTTCCACTTCCTGTATATGTCCTTTTTCTTTCAGGCTGTCACTTAATTTTTTGTGGAGCCATGTGGGCTTCCTCTGTTGTCTGAGTTTCTTGGAAGGAAAAAACGCAGGATACAACAACCATGCCACTTCCTGGCACACTGTTCCATCCAAAAGGCTCCCCACACCTCCCACCTCCACTTGCTGGTGTGTCGGCTGCACCCCTTGTTCTGGAAGGGACAGCCCAGCCACCGTGATCCATGCTCTGGACGCCTCCCAGTGGGATTCCTGCGGGGCCTCGCGCGTGGGGCGGCCTCTGTGGAGCATCTGGTCCCTGCTGCTGGCCAGGTCCTCGCTTGCAGCCTCTTGAATGGAATGCTCCCTGATGGCACCTTCACCAGAGACGTTCACGTAGTGCTCTTGACGCTTCTGTCCTTTCAGGAGCCAAGGAAAACAGTTGGTGGCGGCAGTGGCTGCTGCTTGTCTCTCCAGTTTGACTTTGTTTTGTTGTAGATGATATTTTTATGTTGGTCATTGTGGATCGCCGGCCACTTTGGTGCTGCAGCCAAGCATGTAGTTGCTTTCTGTGGGTTAATCGTAAAGTTGCCTTGCTTTCTGTAAGGAAAGAGTTGTGGCTGAGGCAGCTTCCTTGTGCTTTCCCGGAGAAGGTCCAGGGCTTCTCCTCTCCTGGAGGATTTCACTGGGGGCCTGTGTGACTTCCTGCTGCTTTCCCACAAGCCTGCTCTGTGGCTACAGCCTCTGCTTTGCCTCCCCACAGCTACCCAGGGCTGCTTATCGTCCCGCAGAGCGTCCCTGACAACACCATCCAGCGAATCTCTCGCTGCTACCGCCAGAACCGCTTCCCCGTCGTCTGCTGGCGGAACTCGCGCACCAAGGCAGTGCTGCTGAGATCGGGCGGCCTGCACGGCAAGGGTGTGGTGGGCCTATTCAAGTCTCAGAACACTCCTGCCACTGGAGGTAGGATCCCTCTGGGCTGCCCTGGGCCACCCCGCCCCACAGCCTGCCACCCCAGCATGGCGTGTGAGCGCCCCGTGCCTCTCCCCGCAGGTCCCTCGCAGGCAGATTCTGCCAGCCTGGAGCAGGAGAAGTACCTGCAGGCGGTGGTCAACGCCATGCCCCACCACGCTGACGCCAGCGGCCGTAACACCCTCAGCGGCTTCACCTCTGCCCACATGAGCAGCTCAGGTACGGGGCCATTGGGGCCCAGCCTGGGGGGCGGGGCTGGCCCTCCGGCACGGCGGAGTGGTGCCCGGTTGGGCCACCTGGGCCCAGGAGGAGGTGAGTCGCGTGCTGTTCCCACCCAGCTTGCAGAACTGCTCAGTTGTCCTCTGCCATTTGCTCGGCGTGTCTCCACCTCCATTCGTTGTCTGTGTGAAGAGCCATTCTAGAGAAGCAGGCCTGGCCAGGGCAGTGAGCGGACTGCTGGGACTGGCTGGCGACCCAGGGCTGCCCCGCTTGGGAGGGGTGGGGTTCAGATCATGGGTCTCTGCTCTCCCATCAAGGCGGGGGGGGGGGGGAGTAGCACATGGCTTGTCCCTGCTGGACACAGTCGGAGCCAGCAGGAGTGTTTGGGTTCCTGCCTTCTGGCACGTGTCCACCTTCTGTTGGTGCTGCAGATTCTTCTGAGAAGCGGCAACCCAAGCTGGGATCTCTTATGAAGCAGGTGATGGGAGGGAAGGACGAAGGGGCCGGCCCGATGAGCCGTGCAGGTGAGACGTGTGAGCAGCTTGTAGAGCAGAGCAGCCGCTTAGTCTCTGCTTCCCAGGGGATCAGCTGGGCAGGGCAGGGCAGGGCTTCCGTGGAGGAACCAGGTGGAGGTGGGGCTCCCAGGCATCCCTATGGCTTTGTCCACCCATCTTGTCTGCCCATCGTCAGCCCACCCCTCCCCATGAGAGGAAGCGACCATCTGCCATACCATCTCCAGCCCTCTTCTCTCCCATCACTTGCTGAGTTGCCTTTCATCCTGTCCTCTCTCAGCCCCAGGTCACAGAGCTAGGGTAGTCACCCTCTCCAGCCCCAAGAGCATGGCAGCAAAGGGACGTGGCTCCCCGCGAGGTACTCTGTGGGACATTAATTCCCCTGACATGACATGACATTCACACACTAACTCCCTCATGGTTGCCCGAGCAGTCAGGCAGCCTGGCCAGCACGCCACTCTGCGCTAACCACTAAGCAGCCTTACTGCATGCTCCGCCTGGCTTGGAGTGCCTGCCAGTCCCTCCTCGGTAAGATCGGCTGGCCTGGGGGTCCACCTCGGTGTGAGTCAACCTGGGGCTGTTGATCCAGCCTGTGGCCCGGAGCCAGAGGGAGGGCTTAGCTCGGGTGGGAGGCAGCAGTCCCCTGGCCAGAGGCCAGCCCGGAAGCGGGGTGTCAGGACCTGTGCCCCACCGTCTGAGCGCATCTCCCTTGCAGGCAAATGGGGAAGCATCCGAGCCAGCGGGCGCCTGAGCAGCTATGCTCTCAATGCAGAGATTGGATCTCGCTTGGCTGGGAAAGAGCTGCTCGGCACGCAGCCCAACGGGTCCCCCTCCGAGGCCAGCTTCTTGCGCCAGCACCGGGCATCGCTCTACATCATCGGCGACAAGTCTCAGCTGCGGGTATGGTGCTCGGGGGCAGGGGGTGCCCTCCACTGCCCATCCTGTGCTCAGCGGAGGGGTGGTGCGCGCCCTTGGCTGCTCCTTGAGTGACTTCTTCCTTCTCGTCAGGGTGTGAAGCCTGACCCTCTGCAGCACTGGGAGCTGGTGCCCATCGAGGTGTTTGATGCGCGACAGGTCAAGGCCAGCTTCAAGAAGCTGATGAAGGCCTGTGTGCCCAGCAGTCCCTCCATGGAGCCTGGCTTGACCTACCTGCGCTCCCTGGAGGAGTCGGAATGGCTGGTGCAGGTCAGTGGCAGGGAAGGGGCTGGCGCAAGGCTTTCCCCTCCTCTGGATGCCTCTTGGCCAGGGTCTGGAGCTCCACTGGCTCATGGGGAGGGGGCGTGCCGAGGAGAGCATGACTCCTTCACGGGCGAGCCCGCTCTGTGCCCGTGGCATCGTCCTTTCCCTGCCCGCTCCGCTGACAGCCCCGTTGGTCAGGCCTTGAGTGGGATGAGGACCTGCAGCCTCTTTCCTCCCAGCATGACACTGTGTAGAGGGCAGGAAGGAGTCGCTGTTCCAAGGGACTTGCCATCCAAAGGCAGCCTCAAGGAAGACTGCAGCAGAGGCGAAAGGAAACGGAGGAAGCAGTAAACAGGAGGGATCTTTTTCAGCCCAGTAGGAAGGAAGTGGTTTGCTACAGAAGGAGGACAGGCCCGTTCTTCAGTAGTGCACGGGCACGGGTGGACGTTCTCTGGTCAGTTCTGCGCGGAGGGCTGGAGTCAAGCAGGAGGCAGCGCATTGGATGACGGACGTGGTTCACGGGGTCCACAGCAAAGCCAGCTCGGCATCCAGAAATTTCCCTTTTTATACCCTCCTATAGCCAAGTCTCCCTGGGCAGTTAACAAAAGTTCAAAGCACACAGGCAAGAAAGGGGAAAAAAACATAAAACCACAATAATTGGAAGAAATTAGCACATAGCAGTGGTGCAGGATAAAATGCAATATTAAAACTAAAGAACTGTAAAAATACTGGAAGACTGAAGGGTGTCTGGCGCAGAAACAGAGTGCAAGAGCCGGCTGGTGGGTTGTGTGCTTGCTCTGGGTGTGGGTCCCCGGGAACTTTGGTTGAACGGCTCGCAGGAGTCCCGTGCAGGGCTCTAAGGAAGCCAGCCAAAGGGTGTTCCTGAATCGCCTGACGGTGGCAGAGGCTTGACTGAGCGTCACCCCCTGCAGGCTCTGCAGTTGTCATGGGTGCAGCCAGACGACACTGGCCAGGGAGGCCGAGGGAAGAGGCTGGGCCATGCCAAGCTCTGCCAGCGAGGAGGAGGTCCATTTTCTGCCCCCTTCTTCGTACACCTGGGGGCTGCAGGGCTGCAGGAGGCTGGGCTGCACCCAGTGGATCACGTCCCAAATGCAGCTGCTAGCCTGCATGCCTGCCCTAAATTAGTCCCCCTCCCCAACCTATGGAGCCGAGTGTTAAAGAAATACTTGGCAGGACACGAAGGCAGAGCCATTTAGTAGCCAGAGCGGAGGGACTCTGTGGTGGGGACGGGGCCAGGGTGGCAGGGAGCTTGTGAGAAGGGGGCCTGTGGGGCGGGGGGGGGGGCAGTGCAGGGTACACAGGGGGCATTCCAGCTGGGGAGAGGGGAGCGTTCAGCTATGCTGGCCGCACAGGCTGAGCAGAAGTTAGTGTAACAAGGGGAGGCAGCAGGAAGAGCAGAGCAGACAGAGCAATGGAGAAGCATGGAAGAGTAGGGCTGGAAGGGGCCAAGATGGCTGTTGCATCCACCCCTGCTGCGGCAGGACACCAGCTCACACCGTCCCGTTCGGAGGACTGTCCAGTTTTGCCTTGAGTGTCTCACAACCTCTAGGCAACTGGCTTTGCTGTTGTCTTGCTCTGACAGTGAGGAGACTTTTCCTGATCTCTAGCCTGCATCTGGGTGCCCACAACTTGAATTGCATATTCCGTGTCCTGCACTCCGGCCTCAGCGAAATTGGCACCAGTGGCCTGAGCAAGGGCTGGCGAGGGTGAGGGCCGCTGTCTTGTGCAAGGCCGTCCATGAAGAGGGTCACGCTTCTGCTGAATATGGAGAACAAAGGACGGGGGACCCAAGAGGAAGCTGGTGCTCGCTGCCCAGTTGGCATGGTGGGGAGCAGGGCCACCATCCTGCCGGGCGAGCGTGCGAGGAGAGCAGGGTTGGGGGGACAGGCAGTGCTTGGCCTGGATGCACTGGCACAGGCCCGTTGTGCGGCCTCGAAGTGGCAGTCTGCAAGAAGAGGACACTGCCGGGCAGGGACTGAATGCTGTGGCTTGTGAAGCGGTTGCCCCGGAGCAGTCCGTGCAAGTAGTAGGCAGGCGAGAATTGGGCCCTGAGGTACCGCACCCGGATGAGGGAAGGACGGTGGAGACACGGTGAGCGGCCAGGCAGGGAGGCAAAAGCCAGCTGAGGGCCAGCTCATAGAGGCACGTGGGGTGTTGGGCATCGGATTTGGTGGGGAGGCCAAGAAGGAGCGAGCCAGACGGTGGAGCAGGTGCGGGGCTGGACCACACTGGACAGAATGGAACAGGGAGACATCCTCTGGCTGCCCGTCCACTAGCTCAGGTGTGGTTGGCAAGGAGCTATCAGTGACGCAACGAGGCCAGGGAGGCACTGGCCACCTTTCAGTTCTGCGCAGGACCTTGTCTCCCAGTGTCTCAGGTGGCCCAGTAGCACGACTGTTGTTTCTGCGCATGCCGAGGTGATGCTCGCTGTTGAAGTCCGACACAGACCCACAGGACCGGGGCGAGAGGGGAAACCGAGCCCTCTTGTGGGCACTTGGGGAAAGAGGAATGCTGCCTGGATGGGCAGTGCCGGCAGTCGTGACCCCCGTGCTCTGTGCCCTCTACCTCCTGGCAGATCCACAAGATCCTGCAGATCTCCGTGCTGGTGGTGGAGTTGCTTGACAGGGGCTCCTCTGTGCTGGTCAGCCTGGAGGAAGGCTGGGATATCACCACCCAGGTAAGGCTCGGGACCCTGCCCCAGGCCCCCCAAGCCCACCCGGGGGTGCTGACGCCGCTCCCCCCGCACAGGTCGTGTCCTTGGTGCAGCTGCTGTCGGATCCCTACTACCGCACCATGGAGGGCTTCCGCCTCCTCGTCGAGAAGGAATGGCTCTCCTTCGGGCACCGCTTTGGCCATCGCGGGGCCCAGACCTTTGCTAGCCAGGGCAGCGGCTTCACGCCCATCTTCTTGCAATTCCTAGACTGCGTCCATCAGGTAAGAGCCGGTCACCACTCTGCCTGCGGTGGTGGGAAGGAGGGAAGCCATGACCTGTGGGCCCTGGCCGCTTCCCTCGGGCCCTGGCATCTCCCTCCCTCCCTCCTCCGCAGATCCACTTGCAGTTCCCCATGGAGTTTGAGTTCAGCCAGTACTACCTGAAGTTTCTGAGCTACCACTGCGTGTCCGGTCGCTTCCGTACTTTCCTGCTGGACTCTGACTATGAGAGACTGGAGCTGGGTAAGGGCCCGCACGGGGTCTGTGGTGGGGCAGTTGCCGAGGCCGTGGTACAAGCTGCAGCACATGCTTTTTCACGCCAGGCCTCCTCTATGAGGAAAAAGGGGAGCGGAAGGGCCCCCCACTGTTCTGCTCCATTTGGGACTACATGGACCGACTGAACAAGAAGACGCCTGCATTCTTCAACTACATGTACGCCCCTGAAGATGGCGAGGTGAGGCTGGCACGTCAGCAGGGCCCGTCTGCTTGGGGGTCAGGTGCGCCTCCCTGGCAGCCGCTGGTCACCCGGGGGGACAGCCACAAGCCTCCGGGCCCTGCTGTCCCCGCAGCGCAGGCTGCGCCGACCAGTCCTGCTGTGTGTGACTTGTCTGGGCCCTGCCTCGTCTCCAGGTGCTGCGTCCTTACAGCAACATCTCCAACCTGAAGGTGTGGGATTACTACACCCAGGAGACCCTGTCCGAGGGCCCCTCCTATGACTGGGAGTTGGTGCAGGGCCAGGCGGAGCCCCTGGAAGAGGCTGGTCAACAGGACACGAGCACCCCCCAGAGCCAGCGGAAGATCATCTGGCCCTGCTACGATAACCGCAGCCGCACGGAGCCGGATGCCATCTCTCGGCTGCTGGAGGTCAGTGGGGGTCCAGCCCTCCTGTTTCTCCTCTAAGAATGACGGGGTGTGAGGGGATGTAGAGGGACCATGTGGGAAGCAAGCGCACCCCTTTGGGGGTGGGGTGTTGAGGGCAGAACTGTGCTGAACGTGGTGTTTGGGTGGATTCCAGGCCCTTAGGTTAGTTTGGAGTCTTCAGTTTCGGGGTTACGAATGCAGGAGGTTTGGGGGGCTAGGCACTGGTCCATGGGTCAGGATGATTGTCTCTTGAAATCCATGGGATGCTGAAACTCTTCTGCAGTCCCATTCTACCTTCCCTTGCCCCAGGTGCATCAGTCCTCAAAGAACAATGCTGCTGTGAGGAATCTATAGGAAGGGCGCTCCGTTTCCTCCCCTCAGCAGCTCAGTTACGTCTGGTCAGCCCCAGGCAAGGCAGGTCTCCGCTATCCCCGAAACAGCATCAAAGTGGGGTGGGGGGGGTGAGAGAAGGGGGAAAGCGCAAGTCCTGCAGCATTGCACTTCTCAGAATATTATGCCAGGGATCGTGAACTGGTGTTTTCCATGATTATTCTTAAAATTAGAGAGTAAAAGGACACAGAGCCTGTCTGTTACTGGAAAGAAAAACCTTGCTTGAACACAGGGAAGGTCAGTCCCATATTGCAGAACCCTGAGCAGCTCCAGCTGGAGAAGGTCCTCAGAAGAGAAGAGGGGCCACGCGGGGTCCATGTGCCGCTCTGTCCAGTTCAGCACAATGATAGCCAGGCAGTTGCCCACAGGAGCCCAAAAGCAGGATGAACAGGAGTTCCCCTGCCCAAGCTCCTGAGCAGCTGGTGCATTGCAGGGCTGTGGCCCCTCATAATGAAGGCGGCACTTAGCTAGCAAGACTAGTAGCCACTGAGAGCCACCTCCTCCAAGTATTTTTCCAGTCCTGTTTGGTGACCAGCAGCGCTTCCTGTGGCTGTGAATTCCATAGTTTTAACTATGCACTTCCGAAAGCTCCCGCTTCGTGGGATACCCCTCAGTTCTAGTATTACGGGAAAGGAAGAAAAATGCCTCCCTTTCCACCTTCTCCACACCAGGCATTATTTTAAAACCTAACTCTAACCCATAGCCATCCCTCATCATTTTTCTTGCCCTTCCATGAACTTTTTCAAAGATAGGCTGGACATGCACGTGGTGGGCACGTCATGAGCAGAGCCAGCTGGAGCTGGGGGTCAGACTAGATGGCTCAGGAGGGCCCTTCTGACTCTCTCTGTTTCTATGTTTTTCCAACTCAAAGTATGCCCTTTTTAGGTGCAGTCACCAAGTAAGGTCACACCAACGAGTTGTTTAGAGGAGTTGGCTCTTGGCAATTGTATTTTCAATTCCTTTCCTAATTAAACTTAACCTGGAGTTTGGCTTTTGCTCGTTCACTGCTACTCCAGATGCCATCTGTCCTTACTTAAAGTTAGGATTTTTCTGCTCCAACACGCGTTATTTGACACACTGAATTGCATTTGCTGTTTTGATACCCATTCTCCCAGCTGAGAGAGATCCCCCTGGCACCCTCCCTTCTGGTTTTAATCACATTACACAGTTCACGTGCACAGAGATCAAACTAGTCAATCTTAAAGGAACTCAACCCTGACTGCTCTTTAGAAGGCCAGGGACTGAAGCGGAAACTCAAATACTTTGGTCACCTAATGAGAAGGAAGGACTCATTAGAGAAGAGTCTAATGCTGGGAGCAATAGATGGTAAAAGAAGAAGGCGATGGCAGAGAATGAGGTGGCTGGATGGAGTCACTGGGGCAGTGGGTGTGAGCTTAAGTGGACTCTGGGGGATGGTGGAGGACAGGAAGGCCTGGAGGGATGTTGTCCATGGGATCGCGATGGGTCAGGCATGACTTTGCGACTAAACAATAACAACAAAAACGTTCAGTAGTATCAGCAAACTTAGCCTGAAAGCGTTGGTCCTAGTCCAAAATCCTGTTTCTGTCCCTCCACTGGGTGAAATTTCCTCTCTCTGTTTTCTGGTCATCGTTCCAGAGGAGGGTTCCCCGCTCCTTTCATGCGATGCCTGCCGAGTGAGTGCAGGAGTCTTTCGCAAGGGGCTTTGGCTTTGTCCATTCATAAATGCATTCCTTGACTTGATGGTTTTCTTCCTTCGAGCTTATTTTTGACAGCTTTCCCCTTAGGGTTAGGGTTAGGGTTAGGGTTAGGGTTAGGGTTAGGGTTTGATCCCTCTTCTCCAGTTTGCACAAGACCTGCTTTTCCAACAGTGACCTGGTAAACTGCAAAAAGCACCGTTCTGAAAGCTTTCCATTCTCTGGACAGCAAAACGATGGGAGCAACTCCGCCATACGCGTGCCATCTGCAGTGTGGTTGTGACAGCAGCAGGCTACCCTGCAGGGCTATTGTTGACTGCTCTCTGTGCAGCCCCACCACTGGCCCTGGGGCTTTCTTTGGGTGGGATGTAACTGCAACTGCCCCACTTTTTCTGGCTTAGCGAGTGAGAAAACAATGGGGCGACCTTCCTGAAGCCTCCCAGGGAATATTGTGAGCTCACGCGGGCTTCAGTTGTTGCATTACCAAAGGTCCACCTGGCCCAGCAGTCCACTGACAAGCAGCTGCCGCAGGGTCCCTCACGCAGGAGGGGTGTGAAGCCTCGGCTTCGCCCAAGCTCCTTAACAGCTGTTGTGTGCAGGCATGCCATTGTGCTTAGTTGCAAAGTCGTGCCCGACCCATCGTGGGGTAGCACACAGCTAGCAAGGCTAGGATCCACTGATGGCCCCTCCTGCATGAACCTGTCCAGTCCTCTTTTAAAGCCACCCAGATTGGCAGCCACCACCACTTCCTGTGGCAGCAAATTCCACACTTGAGCTATATGCTGTTACCTGTCCTAAGCACCCCACCAGTCAGCTTCATGGGATGATCACGGGTTCAAGCGTTATGGGAGAGGAAGAAAAATCTCTCTCTCTCTCTCCTCTTTCTGCACTCCATGCATGATGCTGAACACCTCTATCATGCCGCCTCTGTCCTTTTTTCTGAGCTGAACAGTCCTAGTTGTCGTAGTCACTCTACATAAGGGATCTGCTCCAGCCCCCTGCTCTTTTTACCCCCAATCTTCTCTGTACTTTTTCAAACTCAGTGTCTCTTTTCAGGTAAGCCAACCAGAACTTAACACGATATTCCAAGGGCAGTTGCACCAAAGATGTGCCTAAGAGAAGCAGATTTTGGCAGTTCCGTTTTCTGTTCCATTCCCAGCTATGCCTAGGATTGAGTTAGCATTCTTCACAACAGCTGAATACTAGACTGAATTTTTCATCAAGCCATGCGCCGCTCCCCCAAGGTCCTTTGTTTTGCTAACTCACTGCTAGCTCAGGTCCTATCGGTGTATACACAAAGTTGGGATTCTTTTTGCCTCAGCATGCCGTACTCTACACTTGCTTACATTGAACTACATTTGCCATTGATGCTCATTCTTCCAGCTTGGAGAAGTCTCTTTGGAGATCCTCATAATTCCTTTTCCTTTTGACCACATTAAAAGGTTTAATGTGACCAGCAAACTTGGCCACTTCACTACCTACCTGTAATTCCAGATCATTTATGAATAGGTTGAAAAGTATTGGTCCCAATACAGAACGCTGTGGGACTCCACTGGCGACATCTCTCCTCTGGGAGAAATTGCTATTTATTCCCACCCCAAGTCTTCCATTCTTCAACCAGTGGGTGATCCAAGAGAGGACCCCTCTTTTGTGCCCCGACTGCTTAGTTCACTCAGGATCCTTTGGGGAGGGACTTTGTCAAAGGCCTTCTTGAGATTCAAACCAGCCATGTCTCCTGGATTGCCCTCCGCTCTAGATGCTCATTAGGGATGCAGGTGGCGCAGTGGTTTAAACCGCCGAGCTGCTGGGCCTGCCGATCAAAAGGTCAGCAGTTCAAATCCATGACAGGGTGAGTGCCTGTTGCTTTGTTCCCATTTCTGTGACAAACACTGGCTCCCTTGGCTAAGAAGCAGAGATGAGCACTGCCCCCTAGAGCCAGACATGACTGGACTTAATGTCATGGGGAAACCTTTACCATTACCTTTACATGCTTATTAATACACTCAAAGACCTCCAGTAGGTTAGTGAGGCAAGACTTCTCGTAGAAGCAATGCCGATTTTTTTCAGCAGGGCTTGTCCCTCTGTGCGCTCGCTGATTCTGTCTTTATTGATTATTTCAAGCAGTTTACCCAGAACAGATGTTAATGTATGTTCTTTGAGAGGCATCTTGCAGAGTTGCTGTCACCCTGAATAGGGTTGGCTGCCCATGAGTTTCTTCACTACCCACTTTGACTACACCCACTGCCTTGCAGGAGCTGCAAAACCTGGAGATGGAACTGGGGCAAGTTCCAGGGCGCTGGAAGGAGACATGGGACAAAGTAAAGGCTTTCCAACGGTCAGAGGCCCAGGCAGACACCGGCAGCAGAGTAAGGGCTCTTGAGCTGGGGGCAGAGGCTCGGGGGCAGCTCTGCGAGCTGCTGCCAGAAGCTTCCTTTCAATGCATGTGGTCTTTCATTACCAGCTAGCAGCCAGCAATCTGCTGATGGCATCCGGCCTGTCGCACCATCGGCGCTCGCTTGGCGTCTACCTGCAGGAGAGTGCTGGCGGTAGCTCCACCATCAACCTCAGCCTGGACAGTGATGCCAGCAGCACCTCCACGCCCTCCGGAGGGAGGCAGGGGGGCCGCCGAAGCACCAGCACCCTCTACAGCCAGTTCCAGCCAGCAGAAAGCGAGAACCGGTGGGTGCACGAGGCTCACCAGCCTTGCAGCAGAGGCTGGCAGGAGGGGAGGTGCTGCTCAGAGAACAAAGCTCCTTGGCGTTGCTCTCTCTCGCCTCCCCCCACTTCTTCTCCTCTGCTCACTACAGTACTTTTGTCCCCTGCAGCTCATATGAGGGATTCCTTTATAAGAAAGGAGCCTTCATGAAGCCGTGGAAGCCCCGCTGGTTTGTGCTGGATAAAACCAAGCACCAGGTAGGTTGGTTGAGGGGGGGGATGTAGAGTGGCGGTGGGAGGGACCACTGCTGAGCGTCTCTCCTGGCCTGCCTGCCCCGGGGCTATGACTTTTGCCATCTCTTCCTTCAGTTGCGGTACTATGACAGCCGGCAGGACTCCGAGTGCAAAGGCGTCATTGACTTGGCTGAGGTCGAGTCCATCACTCCAGGCACCCCCACCATGGGCGCTCCCAAGATGGTGGATGAAAAGGCCTTCTTTGATGTAAGCCGCCCTTGCCTGAGGTGGAGCCCGTTCCCCCTTTTCTTGGCTGCCATCAGGAAGCCTGGTTTGCGCTGCATCTGCCCATGTGGAGCTCTCAGGGAGGGAGGGAGGGAGAGAGCCTGCCTTCTCTGCATGCCTGCATCGCTCTGCTTCGCTCCTCTCCCCTTGCAGGTGAAGACGACAAAGCGTGTTTACAATTTCTGCGCCCAGGATGTGCAGCTGTCCCAGCAGTGGATCGACCGTATCCAGAGCTGCCTGTCTGATGCCTGAAGTCGCCCTCGCGCAGCCTGCCGGGCTGCCGCAAGCAGAGCAGGGCCGGACTGGTGGTGCACTGGGACCGAAGGAGGCACAGGGTGCGGGGAGAACGCCCTTCCCACGGCCCTCGGCCTGGCTCTCCGGGCTGTTCTGCAGCCTGTGCCACAGTCTACCGGTGGCCGCTTCTTGCCGGGACAGCGCAGGCCTGCTTGCTGGAGCAAGGGGCTAGTGGGAGTCACGAGGTGGGAGGACCCCTGCTTTTCCTGGGCAGTGGCCGATCCAGAAGGCCTCCGTGTCGCTCCTTTCCTGAACAAGCGTGCCATGAGCTGCGCCAGGAAAAGGGCCAGAAGCTCAGCTGCACGCTCAGGGGGCACCGCTGGGGTAGAACAGTATTACAGGCCTCGAACACACGAGTCTAGCAGGCAAGGATGCCGGGGCCTGTGTGGGTCTGCAGCCCGTGGCCCCCTGTTCTGGGATGTGGGGAGAGGGAGCAGGCGTCACCTCTGGCACAGCTTGCCCTGCCCTCTGCTCATTCAGTGGCTTGATGCAGTGGAGGGCTGGCTGGGGCTCGCACTGTCCTAGTGAGGAAGCCCAGGGTGGGGAGGGAAGGGCTTCCCAGGCTCCCGGATTATCTGGCATTGTTGGAGGTGTTTATGGGCATGGGAGAGATTCTTGGATGCAGCTAACGACCCTGTGACTGAGCCCTCTCGCCCCAAGCATAGGCTTTAATCCTGAAGCAAGTCCTGTAGCCTGCTTTCTTCACAGGTCAGACGGCAGCCTCCCCAGCTCTCTTTAAAAGGCATAGAAGTGTTATTCGAAGCCCTGAGACATTGTACATAGCCTGGAGCACATTGCCCCCCCTTTTTTATTTGTACAATAACGGCTGTGGCTGGTGTGAGTTGGAAGATTTTGTAACTTCCTTGAGCAGTTGTAGATTATTGAAGTTTCTGTACATTGTGTCAAACCTACAGAGTCCTTGTATTGTATTGTGCCTAGAGGAAAAAATATATGGAGAAAAACTAATGGAATTTAATAAAAAAACAGCAACATGTGTGTTTGGTTGGATGTGACTTCTCTGAGGCACAGGTTACTGCATTGCCAGAGGCTCATCAGGAATCTCGTAAGCCCCACCCCACATGCCGCGGTTTCCTCAGTACTGGGAAGCATCAGTGTATCCAGGAACTGGATTGGACCAGCCCATTTTGCTGCGCTTTGGTTGCATACAGGCAGGGAACGGGAGGGTAGTAGGAGAGGAGGGCCCTGAGTGCGCGTGTGTACGGAGGACTTATGTGAGTGCAGGACGTTTCTTCTGCATGGATCAGTGATGCTCAGCAGGGAACCGACTTAACAGCAAAAAGAAGAAACGGCTGGGACAACATCCCTGGCAGCCAGAGAAAGAGAAGCAAACATAGACTAAATTTAAAAGAAACAGTCTGCCAAAACACCTTGGAAACAATGCAGTAATTGCTAGAAGCCAGCATGGATGTCTCAAGAACGAATCCTGTCGGACCAATCTAGTTCCGTTTTTTCATTGGGTAACCTCCCAAATGGACTGTGGGAATGTTGTGGACACGATCCATCTTGACTTGAGTAAAAAAGTAGTCCAGACTGTTCACGGTTACCCTGAGTCTGGCTTACCAAGGCAGCAGGCTTGATCCTTCACTTTGGGAGGTTTGGGTAGAGAGAGGGGAGCTTTCTTGCCAGGCATGAAATGGGTGGGACCAGCTAATTCAGTGTCCCCTGGAAAGAGTAGACAGCCATCTACAGAATTCCTTGGTCACAAGCTAATCCCGCCTCTTCAGTTGTTGCTCTTCAAGACTGATGGCCACTGCCTGGAGATACTGCCATGAAAACCAAAGTGGGAGGGCCATGCAGATGCCGAAGGATGATCACTGGAGAAGGGGAAGATTCTGCAGATGGTGGGCAATGACAATGACCAGGGGGCTGGAGTAGCCCCCTTGTGAGGAGCGGCTACAATCATCACGATTGTCCAGCTTAGGAAAAAGGTGTGCAAGGGGAGACATGATAGAGGTGTTTAAAATAATCCTGTGGATAGAAGCCTTTTCCCCTCCTCACCTGTAACCCTCAAACACGGGATAATCCCATGATGCTGATTGCAGGGGGATGTTCAGGACAGCTAAAAGGAAGCACTGCTTCACACAGCATATACTTAAAACCATGGCATTCACTGCCACAGGAAGTGGTGCGGGACACAAATCTGGGTGGAACAGGATCAGACAGTCTTGGAGGAGCAGAAAGCTCTCAGCGGCTACTAGCTTTGCAGGCTATATGCTATCTTTTTACAAGAGGTGGCTTGCTTGCATACACCAGTTCCTGAGGAGCTTGGGTGGGTTGAAGTCTTGCACACCTCTTGCATGAGGGATCCTGGAGGCAGCTGGCTCGCACCGTGTGTACAGAGTGTTGAACTAGATGGCCCTTTGCTCTGATCCAGCAGGGCTTTGTGTATGTCCTTATATGCTTGTGAGGCAGGTAGCTCTTTTTTAACCCCCCCCCCCCCACCACCACCACTCTGAGGTTTCTGTACAGGTTTGCTGGCAAGATCTGGCTGTTTCTCCTCCTCTAGGATCTAGGGGTGGAGGGGGAGGCACCTTGATTGAACCATGAGCTTGCCTTCTCTGCCCAAGAATGTTCTGAGTTTGAGAGGGTGTCCCTTATAATGGTACTGCCACAGGAGGTCAATTGCCTCTTCTCCATGGGTAGAGCCCAGCTTTCCATGTTTATTGGTGATAAACCACTGGTTCCCACAAATTAATTCTATGTTTTGTCCTCCATCTACTTCCAGTTAATTTCTTAGGGTGACTGCAAGCTTTAGTTTATGAGAGGTGAAATAAAGGGTTGGTTGGTGGTTTTTTTGCATCTGTTTTCTCCTCAAATCGAACAGCATAATCTCTGGTTTCGATGCTTCTCATATATATTCCTTGACAGAAATGAAGCTAATTGCCTGGTCATGACTAGATCAGCTTTTAAATAAGCACTGTACTAAGCACCTTTTGAAATCTAAGATAAATTTAGGCTGCATTTACTTTTGCTGTAAGATCTGCAATGTCATAATGGACTTTTGAAGAAGTACTTGATAAGATTTTCTCATTTAAACCACAGGGTTTAAGCCTACACCCTGCAGCTTGACGCACACCAGCCTCTGAACTCCGAAGATTAGCTGCAGCCTGTGCCTGTGATGGTGTGGTGGCAACGACTGCTTTTCACTGGGTATTTTAGCTGCCCTTTTCAGCTACTTAGATCAAGCACTGGCAAGAGGGAAGAGCTGGAATGGAGACAATTGCAGAACATGCACCCCCGGCCCCCAGCTCATGATAAGGCAAAATTTGTTCCAAATGGTGCTTTGATTATTGAACAAGTTAGGGAGCTTTTGTGTGGCAATTCAAGTCTGGTGTGGACAACAGCAGCACAAGCCAGTTTTGATACTGTAATAGCCTTGATTATCCATAGTCCAGTTTTGGCATTATTTGATCAAGCACTGCCTACAACTGTAACAACTGATGCTTCTGGACTGGGAGCTGAGTTGACTCAGTTTTAGGAGGATAAGACTGAAAAGACTGTTGCATTAGCCTCAAGAGCACTCGCCCAGGCCGGAAGGAAGTATCTGGTGGTGGTGGTTGTGTTTGGGTGACCAAAGGATGGAGAACTTAGTTGTGGGTCCACCCACAGTTTGTTGACGGCATTACTGACATTAAAAGGGTTATAAAGGGCTAGAAATCAAATGCTTAGATGGTGAGCACAGTTGCTTTCCTGTATTTATGGAGTCCAAGCCTGGAGTACTGAATGTGACAGCTGCCTGTTTGTCGCGGTTGCCTCTGCCAGTGCTAGAAACTTTGCCTGAAGAGGAGGCAGCAGTAGGGGTACTTCTTCCAGGGACCGCTGTTGCAGGGACAGAGAAGAAATGCCAAGCTGCATGTCTAACGTGTCCAGCTCAGCAAAAGCGAAGGGAATTTTTGATGAACAAATGGCCTAGCAATGCAGAGGCCTGAGCCAGGGTGACTGCCTTGCCTCAGGATGCATGGCAGCCTTTCATGACCAAATGGCTGCATTTTACGAGGAACACGCTGCTTTCTTCTTCCAGAAGACCTGCAGCCTACATGTGTACATCCTGCTCATGGTGCACCTCAAGGAACCAAGCAACGGTTCTGAGATCTGTGCTGGTGGCCAGGGATGGATTCTCTAGTGGAAGCAGCTATTGATGCTCGTGCTCCATCAGTTGCATGATCCTTGCAGCCAGTTCCATTTCCACAGGCAGCATGGAAAAGGCCCCCGATAGATTTTGGGGGGGGGGAGGGGGGGCTTTGATACTCCTCCTGCGGGTTGTCATCATGCTATGACATCAATGGGCTATTTTAGTCTGGCAATCACAAGGCACTTCTGCTGCTGTGATTTTCTATCTGTAGTTTTTAGTAGAGAAAGCAACTCTAAAGTATTAATTTCTGATAATGATCCCCAGTTTACTTCCCTGGAGTCTAAAAACTTTCTTGTGGAACAAAATAGCATACATAGACGGTCATCTATGTACTCTCCACAAGCAAATGGCAAAATTGAACAATTTAATAAACGTCTAAAAGCCAGTTTACAGACAGCTAAACTGGAAGGGAAAAGCAATCTTTTACCACTGTCTTTCTGCAAGCACACACAGCAACATGGCCTGCTGTAACACAAAGGCCACGAGCAGAATTGAGAGAGAGAGAGAGAGAGAGAGAGAGAGAGAGAGAGAGAGAGAGAGAGAGAGAGAGAGAGAAGCGCATTAAGTTAAATGTTGATGGGCTTTCGAAGACAAGCTCTGCTGTACTGGATTCTGATTTAAGAGTGTCACATGCACGCGCACTCAATATGGCTTATACAGATAAGCTCAGAGATGCTAAAGATATTAAATTTGAAAGCAGTTCTTTTGTCAGCGTGAGAAGACCTGGAATTTGGTGGAAAGGAGAAGGTAAATTCACCTTAAGAGTTTGGCAAAAAAGGGACCTTACACTTTGTAAATTGTCTGCTGTGCATACATGCAATGCGTCACGGTTGGTATCCACCTATCCAAGGAAGAATAAAATTGGCACCAGTTAGATGGCCCTTTTTGTCACTCAGGCGGGGGCAGGACCTAAGCATAGAGTTTTAGGATCTGTTACGCATCATGAGGCAACTTCAGTTATTCAGTTGATAACACAAGATATGTTACTGCCTGTGTCACCTTAAGACACAGGATCTCAACCCGTGGCTGCAGAGAAGGGAAAAAAACCAGGCTTATATGACTGCTGGTTTGGACAAAAGATTATGTGATGGTTGTGTGGGAACTTACTCTGATGGCTAATTTCTTGTACCTGTTTCTGTGAGGGGAAGGGGAAACACGGTGCTGGGCATTTCTTTGAGAGATCTGCTTCTGCGGGAAGAGGCATCTATAGAAGCCGGAAAGCACCGCATGGTCATGCGTGTGCAGGTGGGAGCTGCTCTGGTCTCGAATAGATGTTGATCCTGTACATGGAGTGGAACCTCTTGAGTAAGACACCAACTCTTCTGGGCACCCGAGGCTGCGAAGGGACTTAGGGAGAAATGCCCTTACCCCACCCTGACTGAGCACCAGGCCTTCCACACTGGGGCTGTGCCCCAGAGCAAGGACTGAGCCTCAAGGAGCAGCCACTCTTCCCCATGAGATGTGCCACGGCACACGCACCCGCAGCTCCACACACTGCTCAGCGGAAGCTGGTGACTGGCGGCATTTGGCCTTCAGACCACCTGGAGGCTTGGAATGAAGACCAGGCTGGGCAATCGGACCTTCTGGGGCCCCAGGCCACACTCCCCCCAGGCAGGGAGGAAAGAGTCACTTACCATGCCAGCCACCCATATACCCTCGGAAGCAGAGGACTACAGCCAAGCACTGCAGAGAAAAAGCAGTGTTGTGATGTGGAAAAGCTGCCAAGTGCGCTCAGGGAGGCATGCACGTTCTACTCCAGGGGCTCCTGTGGCGCACGGCCCAGCTCACCAGAGCAGCGAAGAAAACTCACAATGCACAACAGGGCAACCCCCTTCCGTGAGGAAGCACTCTTGCAGAAACTGGCCAGCCAGCTGGCCTGCCTGCCTGCCTCTGCCAAAGCTGGCTGGCAGGCAAGGGACCGGCACTGGCTGAGGGAGCCTCCCGCTGCAGCTGCGCTTTCCTGCCGCATCCTGCTTTCTGCAGGGCAGCTCTGGGCCCCACAGGGCAGCAGTTCCTTCCTGCAGCAGAGGCAGGGCCAAGATGGGTGGGCAGGAAGGGCCTTGCTGGGCCAGGCAGGGACGGGGAGCACCCACCGGGCTCAGCCCTCCGAAAGTGGCCAGGCAGTCGCAGTCCTCCGGGAAGCCCGTCACGCCACGTGAGTGGCTGAGCCGCCCCCAAAGGCAGGAGGAGGGAGCTGGAGAGGGGCACTCCGCCCTGGCTCTTTTTGCTACATGAAAGCTGGCCTGAGGGCCAGATCTTTTTGGCTGCCCGAGGTGGCAGTCTCTGAGGAGACCAGAAAGGGCTGCATACCGGCAACGTAGCCACAGTCGGGCTCTCTACCAAGCCGGGTCTGAGCTGATTCTGCCCCCGGTGGCCAGCGAGAGCCCCCACTGCAGCCACGTGACGGGAGACTGACGCTCTCACCACTCACGGAGCAAGGCAGTGCTGTCCCCTCATGACCCACAGCCAGTCTGAAAGGACAGTGGCAACAAACCAGGCGAGCCTCAGGGAAAGTGCTTTGGCTTCTCCCCTTTCCAGCTTTGCAGGAAACATTTAATGTGCAGAAAAACAAGGGACATCAGAATCGGAAGGATTTCTAGAAGCAAACTGAGGCGGCGAAAGTCTCTTGTGCTCCAGGCAACGTCCGCTACAGTTCCTTCTCTGCCCAAACTGACCAGGCGCTGCAGCAGCGGCCAGCTTCGTCTGCAGTCTCCGTGTGACGAAGCGCCGCGCGGCTGGGGGAAGCCAGCCCGTGTCCCGGAGCCGATTTCCCCAAGCCTCTGGGCCCACGTGCTCCTCCGGCGGGAGCCTGGCCAGGCCAGGCCAGGCCAGGCCAGACACGGCTGGCTTCCACCGTCCTGCTTGGCAGGAGGTCTGTCCGTGGTGGGCACCGCGTCCACGGGCGGCTCCCCACTCTGCAGCACAGGTCCTGCCCAGTGCCTCCTCCGCCAGGGCTGGCATCAGCTCCAAAGCACTAACCGCTGCCATCGGGGTCCAGCAAAACCCTTCTCCGCCCGAAAAGTGCCTGGGCGCCCAGGAAGGCGTCAGATTCCACGGGATGGCCAGCCACTGATCTGGAGTGCTCTGTGGAGTCCACGTTCCTCTCTTCTTTACTGCTCCAAATATGGACTGGCAGTGGTCACTTTGGAAGGGAGGGGGAGGGGGAGGGGGAGAGGGAGAGCCGGTGCGGAGACACCGCCGGGGCCTCTTTCCCCGAAAGAGTGAAGCCGCCAGCGTCCCCTGCCTTCGGGCTGGGGCTCCAGGGGCCGCCCCGCCCCACCCCACCCCACCCCACCCCCTGGTCTCATTCATCAGCAAGCGTTTCTGAGGAGGCGTTATTGCTATACCGGCAGCTGTCCACGCCAGCTCCGTCCGGGGCTCACCCGCGGGGTACTGCCCATGGGGCGCCTCCTGCCTCCCTGAGCAGAAGCAAGCAGACGGGGGCACAGGGCCTGGCCCCACCCCCAGGAAGGCCAGGAGGGGCAGAGCCCAGGTGGCAGGGCTGGCAAGAGGCTTCCACCGGGGCAGGGAAGCAGGGCGAGGGCGACAACCCCAGGGGGGCAACTGGCCCGTGCCACATGTCAGAACACAGCAGCAACATCCAAGTGGCATCACGGCTCTCCAATGCCCTCTCTCTCATCACGCGGCATTTATCAGAGGAAAGTTAAATGGCCCAGAGGGCAGGGCCGTATCACCCGGCCCAGCCAGTCCAGCCGGATCAGCCAGGGCCCTCCTCCACCGTCAAGCTGGGCCGTTCAGGGTGGCTTCAACGCCGGGCAGGGGCTCCTCTCTCCTGCAAAGGCGGAAACAGAGACGTGAAGAGGCCTTGAAGGCAGGGCTCATGCGCACCTGCCCAGGTCACCCCAACCCTCTGCACCGTTCCTGTTGGCCAGGTCGGAGGATGAGGTGAGGGATTGCAGAGACATTTCCAAGCGACCCACTGCCCCTTCTGTGCTGGCCTCCTGCATCCCAAGGGCAAGACCAGGGGGGCCGCCAGCACCCCCCCCCCCCGCAGCTCTTTGGGCTGCCGCCTTCCCCATGCATTTGGCCTACTCATGAATCTCAGACCTGCTGCCTCTGCCTGGGTGCTCTCAGAAGGTCTGCCCAGCCCAGCAGCTGGCCAGAGCCACGTCACCCTGGAGCCCAGCTGGGCCAAGGACAGCCCCTGCCCTTCCCGGGGGGGAACCTGGAGGGGCCAGGGCTTCCCAGACCTGCTTCACCGGGAGGCAACCTCAGCAGACCTCGGCGTCAGGTACTGCACAGAGTCCAGCTCACGTGCAAACGCTCACGAAATCAAACCAGTACTGGGCGTATGAACTCTGAGTCTCAGTCCAGGGGCTGCGTCATCGGGCAATCTGCTGACTGAAGCAGACAGGCTGGATGCTGCCTGGGGACATGTGTTTTGGAAAAGGCAGGCTGCTGGCTTGCAGCTGCTGCTCTGTAAATGGCCGTCTCTGCATCCACACATGCGGGCACTGCGCCTGCGTGCAGCTTGCTGGCAGGGAGATGCTGCCGCTAAGTGCTAGTTAGCCCCGTTCCTGTTCCCAGCTTGTGGGAGCCCCCCCCCCCCACCTTCCCTCAGGTCCAGTGAGACCATCTATGGGCCCCAGGACTGAGGCAGGGCCCCTGCCGAGGGTGGCAGCCATCTTCCATTTGACACCCAGTGAGGCCAGTGGGTGGGTTGTGTGAATGCCCAGGTGAACGCTTGGGGGACAGTGACAGACCAGCAACCCGACTGCCTTCTCCACAGTCCCTGGGCTCATGCACGCAGGCGGCTCGCTGGCTTGCCCCGGAGGCTGGAGGGCTGCCCTTGCCTGGACACCTTGCCCAAGGTGCATGACAGGCTCCAGGAGAGGGGCCGCCTGTGTGGCTGCCCAGCAAAGGGGCTCCCAGGAGGAAGGGTGTGGGCACTGCCACCCCTTGTGTGGAGTGTGCTCTGGGTGGGCCAAGTGTGGCTGGGGCAATGGCGCCTGTGACCCAGGCGGCCAGACCCTGAGAGGACGAGGGACTTCAGCCCTCTTTGGAGGAGCACGTGCAGGAACCGGAGGATGTGCTCCATCAGGTGCCCTGTGGGTCGAGGGATCCAGCCTGAACCTGGGTTGCCGCAACTTGACGTGATCATTCCATGCCCTACACTCTGGCATCTGCGGGAAGAGAGCTTGGCCTTCCTCTCTGGGACAGCCTTTGAGGTACTCTTAGCGGGATAGTAAATCCTCTATTAAGGCATCCCAAAATGGCAATTACCCTTTTTTGCAGCTGCATCATGTTGCTGGCTCATATTTAGCCTGTTGTCCACAATTACTCTGAGGTCTTTTTCTTCTTCAGTTCTGTTGAGCCACGTGTTCCCCATCCTGTATGATGCCTTTGGTTTCTCTTTCCCAGGTGGAGGACTTGGCACTTGTCCCTGTTGAATCTCATTCTGTTGCTCTCAGCCAAGTGTTCATCAAGATCACCCTGGCTCTTCATTCTGACTTCTAGGGAGTTTGCTATTCCACCCAGTTTTGTATCGTCTGCAAACCTGATTCTCTTTCCTTGTACTTCCTCCTCTAAATCATTAATAAGTATGCTGAAGAGCACCGGGCCAGGACTGAGCCCTGCGCCCTCCCACGCGTTGCCTCCCTTGTCGCTAATTTGTTTATCAGAATGTTGTGAGCCACTATGTGAAAAGTTTTGCCAAAGTCAAGGTAGATGATGTCCGCAGTGTTCCCTCAGTCCGTTTGGGAGGTTTCCCTGTCAATTAGTTTGACAGGATTTATTTTTGACAAATCCATGTTGGTTTCTATTAATCACTGCATTTTTCTTTCAAGATGCTTGCAGACAGATTTTTTAATTTGTTCCAGATTTTTTCCAGGGATTGAAGTCAGACTAAGTGGTCTGTCGTTCCCAGGTTCATCTTTTCCCCCTCTTTTTGAAGATAGGGACATTCACCCTTCTCTAGTCATCTGGCCTGCTAGTGAGCCGCTGAGGTCCAAACCTGCCCCCGTGCACCAAATGCCAAGGAAGCACTGGGACACGATCCATTCAGACGTGGTCCCGACCCGGGCGGGGGGGAAGCCCGCCCACACGGCTGCACGCGCTTGAGCAGGGCCTGTGCGCCACTCACCCGTCTTTCTTGGCTTCGGGGGCCACCGCGGCAGCAGGACGCAGGAGACGGTCCTGGCACTGGGCAGGCGCACTCTCTGGGATGGGGGCCAGCTTGTCCACAGCCACCGAGTTGCCACCGCTGGAGGAGGAGAACCGACACTCAGCTTAAGCTGCCAACTGACGGGCTGCGCAAAGCTGCTGTGGCAAAAAAGCACATTCAGAAACCCTGGGGGAGGCTGCCCAACCCTGCCTCGCCCCCCCACCCCCCACAAGAAGCTGCCAGCCAGCATGGCATCCTTAGCTGTGAGGAGGCAGAGCCAGAGCCAGAGCCCCCTGATGGAGGGGGGGCTGGAGGCCTGTGGCAGCAGCACGTGGGGCAGGAGGCCCCAGCCCCAGGAACCTGTGGCAACAAAGCTGCGTTCCTGGCTGAATTGGGGCCAGTGGGAGGAAAGCCGGAGCAGCTCTCACCAGCAACTCTGCCGGGAAGCCCAGTGGCAGACTGAGGTGGGATGGACACACTGCTGGCATCCCCCACCTCCCCAGGGCAGAGCCTTTGCCCCCAGGACCCCTGGCTGGGCCCACCCACGCTGCACTATTCCTGGCCGTCTGCGTGGAAGCCCTCCAGGCAAGGCCACCAGCCGCAAGGAGACGGGCCGGCATTCCCTGCGCGGGCAGTGCAGAAAGCTGGATGGCGGGGCGTGTGGTGCAGCAGAGCCAGACGGGACAAGCTTGCGAGAAAAGCGCCCCCTCAGCTGGGCAGGGAGCTCCGTCCAACGCCTCACCGGGTGTGGGAAGAAGCATATGGTCCAACAGGCGTCCCGCCGAGGTGGCCGTGGGAGGGGCTGCCACCCTCTGAGGGCAAAGGGGAGCAGGCGAGGGGCCGGCCAGCCCTTGCAGCCAGCAGGGGCGGACTGCTGCCCGGAACACACCAGCTGGGCTCCTGAGCCTCGTGGCCACCTCCCTCTCGGCCCCTGGCGCCACGCTTGCCTTCCTTCTCCCGGCTGCCAGTGGGGAACGTGGGATGGAGGGTGCGCGGCGGAGTGAAGCGGGCTGCTGCCCCAATCCCATGCGCCACTCTTCCCCGGAGCCCTTCTCGCCCTTGAGCCCCAGCCCTGGCCCCACAGGTCCGAGCTCCGCTCCGGCGCTGCAGTCCCGAGCGAGAGAGCAAGCACGAGCACCCGGGAGCTGGGTCTGAAGCCCAGAAGGCCACCCTGGCTAGCTGGCTGTGGAGCTGGAGCGGCCTTTGGGAGCAGCACAGGAGCCAGGCGGGCAGCACAGCTGGCCACACACCTCCTGTCACCTCTGAGCCTGCCAGCTGGGGAGGGAATTGCAAGGGGACGACACGTGGGAAGAGGGGGATCTGCAGCAGCGTAAGGCAGCATGACAGCACATCGCTTCCCTGTGTGTCCCCATGGATGCCAGCACTCGGCCGGCCTCCTGCAAAGGCAGAAGCCCTGGTGAGGAAGCTCCCCCAGCTGCCGGAGACCGCGCTCCGCTCCCGCTTCAGCGCCTAGAAAGCAAGCCAGCGAAGGGCAGGCAGGCAGGATGAAGGATCCCTTGAAGTGAGGAAATTCTTCCTGGTGTCTACCCTAAATCTGGTTTCTTTTAACTTCACTCCATTATTCTGTGTTCTGCACTCTGGGATGGCCGAGAAGAGAGCTTGCCGTTCCTCTTTGTGACAGCCTTCCAGGTATTTGTGGAGTGCTCTCCTATCACCCCTCAGTCTTCTCCTCCTGAGGCTGAACAGGCCCAGTTCTCTCCATCTTCCCCCATCGGCTTTGCCTCCAGTCCCTGAATCATCCGTCTTGCCCTCCTCTGTACCCTTCCGAGCTTTTCTGCATCTTTGCCAAACGTAGGTGCCCAGAACCGGACATGGTTCTCCAGATGTGGGCTAACCAGAGCTGAGAGTAGTGGAACTAGTACTTCACGTGTTTTGGAAGTGATGCTTCTGTTATAATGCAGCCCAAAACCGCATCTGCCCTCTTTGCAGCTGCATCACATTGTTGGCTCATACTTAGCTTGCGATCTGCAACAACCCCAAGATCCTTCAGCTTTGCAGTGTGGTTGAGCCACGTGTCCCCCATCTTGTAAGTGGCGCACTTGGTCTCTTGTCCCTAAGCGGAGGACTTGGCATTGGTCCCTGGGGCACCTCATTCTGCTGCTGCCTGTCCAGTCCTCCAACCAATCGAGATTACTCTGTATCTTCTCTCTGTCTTTGGGTATTTGCTGTTCCACCCAGATTTGTTTCATCTGCAAATTTAATTTTCTTTCCTTGTAGTTCCTCATCTACATCATTAACAGAAATGTGGACGAGTGCCAGTCCCAGGATGGTGCCCTGTGGCTCTGCACTTGAGAAGGTGCCACGGACGAGAAGGTGCCACGGACGAGCGCTCCTCGAGTCCCATTTGGCACCCCATTGTGGGTCCAGGAAAGGCTGCAGCACTGAGCCAGGCTTCTGCTAGTTTGCTCATCAGGATGTTGAGGGGCACTTTGCTGAACGCTCCACAAAACTCTAGATCCGTGATGGGGAACCTTTTACAGACCAAGCGCCCAAACTGCAACCCAAAACCCACTTCTTTATCTCAAAGTGCCAAGACTGCAATAAAACATGAAAACTGAGGTTTTAGTTTAGAAAAAAAACTCACAGCCAGTCCAAGCAAATGATGTATCCTTGGCAGCCCAGACGGCCATGTGACTGCTCAGGTGAGTCGTGGTTAATGAATCACGGCACGTGACATCACCGCCTGGCACCACAACTCCACCCCGAGCACAGGCACGCTCCCTGTGCGCACTGTTATCCAGTGCTCAGCTGCTGGCGCGATGCTGGGGTGGATGGAATGGCATGCCGACATAGAGGGGTCTGCATGCCCACTGTGCCAGGTGTGCCAACGGACTGCCACCACTGCTCGAACCCCACCCTGGTGCACACCCTTCAACCTAATAGAGGGGGGAAGGTCCATTGAAAAGAGGGTGATTTAGAAAAAGACAGCATGAGCAGCTTTTTCTGCACAGCTCATCATTACTGCCCACTCTAAACACAGTCCAACCATCAAAACCACGCCAGGACACGTAGTTTTCCTAACCCTAACCCTATCCTGGTGCACCTCCCCTTAACCCTAATAGAGGGTAAAAGTTCCATTGAAAACAATGGACTCCTAAAAAAGACATTCCTGAGTAGCTTTTCCTGCAAAGCTAATCATTTCTGCCCATTTTAAACATATTCCAAGCATCAAAATCATGTCAGGACATCTCGTTTTTCTAACCCTGACCCTACCCTGGTGCACACCCCCAAACTTAATATATAGGGGAAAAATTCCATTGGAAAGAGGGAGATTTTGAAAAAGGCTTCCTTGAGCAGCTTTTTCTGTACAGCTCGTTTCTGCCCATTCTAAACACACTGCAACCACCAAAACCACGCCAGGACACCTCATTTTCCTAACCCTAACCCAACCCTGGTGCACACCCCCAACCCTAATATAGGGCAAAAAATCCACTGAAAAGAGGGAGATTTGGAAAAAGCCCTCCTTGAGTAGCTTTCACTGCACAGCTCATCATTTCTGCTCACTATAAACACATACCAACAATCAAAATCATGGCAGGGCACCTCGTTATCCTAACCCAACCCTAACCTGGTGCATCCCCCCAACCCTAATAGAGGAAGAAAGTTCCATAGAAAACAATGCACTATTGAAAAAGGCTTTCTTGAGTATCTTTTTCTGCACAGCTCATCATTTCTGCCCATTCTAAACACACTGGAACCATCAAAACCACGCCAGGACATCTCGTTTTTCGAATCCTAATCCTACCCTGGTGCACACCACTAACGCTAACATAGGGCTGAATTTCCACTGAAGGAGGGCAATTTTGAATAAGCCTTCCTTCAGCAGCTTTTTCTGCACAGCCCATCATTTCTGCCAACTCTAAACAAAGTCCAACCATCAAAATCATGCCAGGACATCTTGTTTTCTGAACCTTAACTCTACCCAGGTGCACACCCCAACCCTAACAGGGAAAGAAAGTTCCATTGAAAACAATGCGCTTTTGAAAAAGCCTTCCTTGAACAGCGTTTTCTGCACAGCTTATCATTTCTGCCCACTCTAAACACATTCCAACCATCAAAACCAGGCCAGGACATGTCGTTTTCCTAACCCTAACCCTAACCTGGTGCACCCCTCCACCCCAAACCTAATAGAGGAAGAAATTTCCAATGAAAAGAGGGCGCTTTTGAAAAAGCCTTCCTTGAGCAGCTTTTCCTGCACGGCTTATCATTTCTGCCCATTCTAAACACATTCCAACAATAAAAATTTGCCAGGACACCTCGTTTTTCTAACCCTAACCCTATGCTGGTGCACACGCCAATCCTAATAGAGGAAGAAATTTCCAATGAAAAGAGGGCGCTTTTGAAAAAGCCTTCCTTGAGCAGCTTTTTCTGCACGGCTCATCATTTCTGCCCATTCTAAACAAACTGGAAGCATCAAAACCACGCCAGGACACCTCGTTTTTCGAACCCTAACCCTACCCTGGTGCACACCCCTAACTCTAATATAGGGCTAAAATTCCACTGAAAACAATGCGCTTTTGAAAAAGCCTGCCTTGAATAGCTTTTTCTGCACAGCTCATCATTTCTGCCTATTCTAAAAACACTGCAACCGCCAAAACCATGCCAGGACACGTCGTTTTCCTAACCCTAACCCTAACCTGGTGCACACCCCCCAACCCTAATAGAGGGTTGAATTTCCACTGAAGGAGGGCACTTTTGAAAAAGCCTTTCTTGAGTAGGTTTTTCCGCACAGCTCATCATTTCTCCCCACTCTAAACACAGTCCAACCATCAAAATCAGGCCAGGACACCTCGTTTTTCGAACCCTAACCCTGCCCTGGTGCACACCCTTAACTCTAATATAGGGTTGAAATTCCACAGAAAGGAGGACGATAATGAAGCAGCCCTCCTTGAGCAGCTTTTTCTGCACAGCTCATCATTTCTGCCCACTCTAAACACATTCCCACCATCAATACCATGCCAGGACACCTCATTATCCTAACCCTAACCCTATCCTGGTGCACACCCCTAACCCTAATATAGGGCCAAAGTTCCATTGAAAAGAGGACAATTTTGAAAAAGACTTCCTTGAATAGCTTTTTCTCCACAGCTCATCATTTCTGCCCATTCTAAACACATTCCATCCATCAAAATCATTCCAGGACACCAGCTTCTGGAAATGTCATAGCATTATGGAATAGTAGAGTTGGAAGGGCCATGGAGGCCGTTGGGTCCAACCATTCTTGCAGGACGCCAATTTACACCACCCCACTCACAGGGCTCTCCAGTTGCTTTTTGAATGTCTGGGCAGCTGGTGCCACTGCTGTATCGCTCTGGCAGTGAGGAAGCTTTTCCTGATGCCCAGCCTGAACCTGGGTTGTTGCAACTTGACTTGATCACTCCATGCACTACACTCTGGGATCAGCAAGAAGAGATCTTAACCTTCCTCTTTGTGACAGCCTTTGAGGTACTTAAAGAGGAATATCATCCTCCGCTCAGTCTTCTCTTCTCAAGACTGAACATGCCCAGTTCTCTCAGTCTCTTTCAAAGGGCAGTGTTTCCACCCTAATTTTTCTGCATCTTTCTTAAAGCTTGGTGCCCAGAACTGGACACAGGATTCCAGATGTGTTCTGAATAGTGAGGAGTACAGGGGAACTGCTACTTCTCGTGATTTGGAAGTACTGCTTCTATTAATGCATCCCAAAATGGCATTTGTCCTTTTGACAGCTGTACCACCTTTTTGGCTCATGTGTCGCCTATTTTCCACAATTACTCCGAGGTCTTTTTCTTGTTCAGTTCTGTAAAGCCACACATTCCCCGTCTTGTATTGATGCCCTTGGTTTCCTTTTCCCAGGTGGAGGACTTGTCACTCGTCCTTACTGAATCTCATTCTGTTGCTTTCAGCCCAGTCTCCAAGTTCATCAAGACTGCCAGCAGCAAACTGCGGCCGGTGCCACTGCAGCAGGCATTCTCTTCTGCGTGCCAGAAGCTGCGGACTGAGTCCCGGAAGCCGCTCTGCGCAGAGCTGGGAAACTGCCGCTGGCAGCGCTGCCAGCGGCCGGTGCAGAGACCGCGGAGCGAGACGGTCACACCCAGCCTGGGTCGGGCCAACGCAGCCCCCTTGGAGGCCCGCTGCACCCTTCCCTTGCCCCCCCTTCTCCCAGGGCTGCCCCCACCCCCTCTTCCGTAGAGCAGGTGACAAGCGCCACCCGGCCGTGTCTGCTGCAGCCCACCGAGGCAGGTGCTTCCGTGGTCGGCAAGGGGGAAGAGTTCCAATGCAAGGGATTGCCAAAAACCCTCTCCCAAAGAATGGCCAGCTCTGCTATAGCAGGACGAGAGCGGGAGGTCTGGAGGAGGTCGGAGGGGCCTGGTCCACCCTCCGCCGTCCCCATGCTTGGCCCCCGTAGCCCTGCTTTGTGCTTGGCGCCAGCAGAGGATGGCTCGGGCCTGGCACAGCTGCTACAGGCAGAGGCAGTAGGTGGCCTGGACAACCCAGGTCCACGTTGTCGGAGGCTGTGGGGCAAGAGCGGCTGTTTGTTCCATGCATCTCGCACCTCCAGGAAGGAGAAGGACGGGCTCTCCCACAAGGTGCTGAGGGAGGTCCCTGCCCAGCACAGAGAAGCCCTAGAGCGCAGCTTGCACCGTGCCACTCCGTGCCCGACGGCCTGGCCGGAGCTCTGCCTGCCACGGGCTCCGCGGTGCAGGAAAAAGGCCTGTTCTGGTGGAGAGGGAAGAGCTGCCCCTTCTGTCCCGCAGAGTCTCCAGTGCCGAATGCTTCCCAGAAGCCCAGCGGTAGTGCTCAGCTGCTCGCTTGGAATCTGTGGCTCTGCCTCCACCCCCCACGTTTGGCGATTCCAGCTGCTGATGCCAGAAGCACTTTAAGCAAAGGCTGAGGAGGGCAGGGCAGGGCAGGGCAAGCCCTGAGAAGCCTCGTTCAAGAAACAAGCAGAAACAAAGGGAACCTGGACCCAAAGCACTAGGCGACCATTTGCAATGACCGAGCCTGAAAGCCAAGCCAAGCCAAGCCAAGCCAAGCCAAGCCAGGGTTTCTCTGCATGGAGCCAAGGCTGCTCAGCAGACCTCAAGGGAAGCTTGATGGCAAAGCAGTCTCCCTGCGTCCAAAGGACAGCTGCCCTTCACGCCCCCCCCCCCCACCACAAAGAGGTCCCCGTTCACCCACAACGTGCTGAGCTGCAACTGCACTGGATCCACTCTGGAGGAGCATCTGCTTTCATGCCCGGCCCCGACTCGGGATTATGGATGGAGAGCGAAAGCCAAGCACCACTCCAAGGCCATGGTGCCCTGTTAGATGGTGCCTTCCCTCCAGCAGCGTCAGTCCATGGCTCGCCTGCCAGGGGCCCTCTGGAAAGCATGTGGAACGGGAGGCACTGACGGGGCGCATGCTGCATGCTCCATGCGAGGGCCGGTGTGGGCGAGATGAGGATCGCATGCCATGCAGGGTCAGTCACCGGCAAGCATGGAAGCAACGCTTCTCCAAAGCTCTAAACATCCACTGGGACAGTACGCCCCCCCCCCCCCCAGCAGGACGTGGCCAACTTCTCCCGCACGGCTGCGCGATGCTCACAGGCCTGGCGGTATTCCTGCCCAGCACCATGTGCGAGGTAATTCAGACTGGCTGCTCACTCATCCCCTGCCCTCCCCACTCCCCAGGAAGGGTCCTTCCCCACTCCTGACTCAAGCGCTGTTTCAGCAAAAGGGACTTGGTGCCGCTGAACAAGGAGGCATCGCACAGGGAGACCCACAACACAACCCTCCACGAGGGTGAAGAGGCAGGGAGGGGGTGGCTTGGAGCAGCCCGTGGCGTGAGCCAGCTGGATGGCTGCAGCTTCCGGTGGATGGTGTGGCCACCGCTGCACGCAGCGAGGCGGGGAAGCAAGTCACACCGCGGACACAACAGCCCCCACCCCACGGAGGTGACGTTACGTGACCATCCCGGCCCCGTTCTCAGTGTGTGGTGTGGACGCTGTGCCCCCTACTTTCTCAGAAAGAAGCCAAGGAACAAGACAGCGCCACCATTAATCCACGTTGCTGTGACAGCAGCACGGCGCTGTCCGAGCTTAGGACAAACGCAAAACTGAGCGAGCGCATTCTGGCCGCGAATGTGAGAGGAATGCGCTCCGAACCCACGAGAGAGCCATGTGTTCCTGGCACATGTGCGCAGGGAAACCACAGACTTATTGTGTGATCTGAGCAGTGCACCGCCATGTCCGGGGCAGTCAGCGGTGGGGCCATGCACTTCCTGAAGGTCCCACTGGTGCAATGGCAGGGCTGCGCCCCCAAGTGTCCTTCACCCTTCAATTAGAGAAGAAGCACATCCAGGGTTCCTGAGGCACGGATTGCTTTGCGTTTTAACACGTTCTTTAAAGGGCTTTCCCGTCCACCCACAGGGCAAAGGCATCGGCTGCCAGTGAGGCCCGAGCGTGGAGGGTCTTCGGGGAGCTAGAAGCTGCCTGCAACTGAGGTAGGGACCAGCCGTCCCGAGGAGGGCTCTCCCCTCCTCCTGGTCCCACACTTGTGGACAGGTCCCTCCTTGTGGAAAGAGCTCCTGACGAGGTAGAAGCCATGGCCGACCAAACACAGAGGGAGGCCCATGGCTGCACTCCCATTTTCCCTCCCCACAAGAATGGTCTTCCAGTGTAAACATTTAACCAGGCAGCAGGAAAAAAGCTTTTTCAAGTCTTGGATTAGTCGGATGAGCCAGAATTTAGCTGATCAGAGGAGAGACTCATTGTCAGGTGGATGTTTGGAACCCTACAGAGTTGCTGGTATACGTACCCTCCAGCTGCAGGTCTAATTATTCTGAGCAATATGCAGAGAGAGGCAGAGGAAGAGAGGGGTGGGGGAGGGAGGGGGGGAAAGAGAGAGAAAATGAACATTGCTGCAAAGCCCAACTGCACGCTTTGCGGTGGTCCCAGAGCATGCCCCTCCCCCATCACCAAGCACCAAGCGGTGGTCCCAGAGCATGCCTCCACCTCCACCGGCCAGCTTCAGACCTTGGACTGGGAGGGAAAGAGACTGTCGCGGTTGCTAGTCATGACGGCGAGGCTTCCCCCTTGACTGGAGGCAGCAAACTCTGGAAAGCCGGTTGCTAGGAATGTGGCAGGAAGCTGCCAAGCAGGCCAGTGCTGCTCGTGGGCTTCCCTCTGAAGCACCTCGTAGGCCATGGTGGGGGTCAGGGAGCCGCCCCCTTGGTCAGGCCCAGTCCCAGAGCTCCGCCTCGGCCCCTGGGAGAGGCCTCTCCCGGAGAGGATTGCTGGCTGGAGCCGGACAAAGCAGAGAGAGTGCGCGGCACGCCTGCACCAGCCCGACAGCCCAGCCCCATCTCAAGCACAAACCCGCCGGGGGGCAGCTCGCTCCTGGCATGCTCCTGGCCCGAGCAGGGCCCTCACTCCTACCCGCAGGAGGCCCCGGGGCACAGGAGCCCCTGCCCACGGGAAAGCACCACCGCGGATGGGCCGGGCTGCCCCCTGGAGGCCGGCCCAGAGTCAACATGGCATGGAAGGGGCTTCCGCACAGAACTCTCCCTATGGGATGTGAGCAAGTGGCAGAGTGCCCGCGGGCTCCCCTGATGCCCGGCACAACAAAAAGCACTTGCCTGCTTTTCAAACATGCCCGGCAGGTTCTGTGCCAACTCCTGTCTCAAAAGTAAACAGCGCTGATGTGAGACCACTTTTATGCACCCACAAGCCATCTCCTGCCTCCCATCACGCCAGAAGATCCTCCATTCTCTTCGGACGCTACCTCCTGCGTCAAAGGAGACACCAAATTCTGGCAACTATCCACTGTGGTCCTGCACTGCTTCCGTGAGCAGCACAGCCATCTTCCTGGGCACTGCAGGTGGGAACTTGTCTGAGACGGGAAGAATCGCCTTGCAGTGAAGCAGGTAAACACGACAGCAGAGCCCTTCTGCCCTGGAGGGGCGCCTGTTCCCTTCCCCGGGCAGCAGCAACAGGGAGCAACGCACGCCGAACGCCGACCGGCTCCACACAGGCCAAGGCAGGCGGGAAGCTGCTGCTCCTGGGCCTGTGCTCCCATGCCAGCACTGCCCTCCATGACACCTGAGTGTGCGCGATTTTCAGAGCGGTTCTTGGCTACGGCCCAGCCCAGCCCAAGCAAGATGCTCCACGGCAGAGAACGCGGCCTGTGAATTCCGCCCTCCGGGGATCCTCCCTGGTCAATCCTTTATTCGCTGCGCACAAGAAGAACAGAATGGCTGTGATGTGAGGTGGGCGAGGAACAGACCGATAGCGACCAGGCCGCTGATGACGGGGCCCCAGAGCCCCACAGTCCTCCACACAAGACGATGAGCAGATGGAGGGGCCCCTGGACAATGGGGCCCACGGACAGGCAACCATCACGGAATATCCCCAGGGACTCCGCCAAGCTCTTCCCCCAGCTCATCTGTGTGAGCCCAGAGCAGGCCACGCAGCAGGTTTGCTTTCGAGCACTTCCGCGCAACAACACGGTGGGCCCTATGCACCGCCTCACCGCAGGAGCCCTCGGACAGCCCCGTGTCCCCTGCAGCTTCCAGTTCCCGCCTGGAGCACGCCACAAGCCTGGCTCCCTGGAACTGAGCCCATCTCCTCTTTCTGCCTGGACAGCGACCCACACCTGGAGGCATCACGTCTGCCAGGCCAGGGAGCCGCAAACTCAGGCAGGTGCTCGGGGATAACCTACGGCAGGACAAGCCTGCAAGAGAACATGCTGGACCCCTCCTTGAGCAAGTGCAGCTCCCAGCTAAAGCCACCCCGAGTGTCCTGAGCGACACAACACTCCTCTCTGCGCAGGCCTTGGGTGCTTCCGGACAACTCCATCCAGGAAGATGCTCTCCAGCAGCCACAGACCAACCACACCACAGAAGCACAGCAACGGGGAGCAAAGCCCGCATGAGCCCCGGTACAGCTTAGTCCCCGCAGCCGTTCGGGCAGGCCACGGGGGGGGGGGGGGTGGCAACACCTCCACCCTTGGCACCAGCTTATGCTTCCATGTGCCTGTAAATCTTGAGGATGCCACATAATGCCTTGTCTTATGAATGAAAGGTAATTTTTAAAGCCCTCCAGCCAAATCTGCAGCCATGTAATCAAAGCAAGAACGATGCTTGTGGGTTTCCCCCTTCCCGATCCCACTTCCCACTGAACCTCCAAATGGCCGTGGAGCAGATGAATCATGAAGCAGTCGATCTGGATGGGCCAGAGAGCCGGAGGGTCCAGCCCTGGCTCAATGCAGGATTCCAAGCCAGACCGTCCCTCTGGGACAGCTGTCCAGGTGCAGGGCAGGAGCCACTCCAGCATTCCGGCCTGTGTGTGTGTGTGAGTGTGTGCGCGGGGCATTCCTGAGAAAAGAGGCAGGGAGCTCTTGTAGGGAGAGGTGTGTGAGAGGCACCTGAACCCCCTCCTCCCTGGACCAAGGTTTCCATTGCCCCTACCAAAATATCCTCTCAGAAACCTTTCCCAGGCCTGCTATTGGATCCTTTGGGCCAGAACATTTTCACTGACTCGTTCTTAACCTGCTGAAAGCGGGTTTGATAAATCTGAGTTCAGGAGCTGATTTTACTCTCCATGTTGTTATTCCAGTTTTTAATCTTTCATTTATAATTGTATTGTGCACAGTTTTAATTATCCTGTTGGCCACTGTGAGCTCTCTGTTGAGGGAGAGCGCATGCGCGTTTAAACGGGCGACGCTTCTCCTCGGAGTACGGTGCATCGGATGGCACCCTCCAGCCAGCAGATTTCAGCAGGAGGTGAACCTGGCTGGCGCTCTCCCTGCGTGCCAACAGCCTTCCTGCCTGCCCCCTCGACTGATCCGTCCTTACTGGAAGCCGCCGCAAGACGTCACTCGGGCCCCACGGGAGCGGAGCCCGCCCCCATTCCAGCACCCTCTTGGTCCACCTGTCCCACCCCTCACTTGCCCTGCCACCCCACGAGATCCGGCCTGCTCTGGCTGGTGCTGGATGCCCGGCCCCGGCCCCTTTCGCACCTGGTAAACAGAGCCTTCTCATTCTTGGCATCCACGGTCAGCTGGACTGTCTCCTGGCCTGCGCCTGTGCTGAAGGTTTCTGTGACAACGTCAGCCTTCTCCTCCTCTTCCTCGCTGTCTGACCCTCCAGAGGAACTGCTGTCTGAGGCTACCAAAGGTGCCTTCCGGGCTACACAGACGTTCCACACACATGGGGAGGCAGCACCAACTGTACGGGGAGAAGCAGCTCGTGAGGCACACGCATAGCCCCCCCCCCCCCACAATTGCATGCCATCAACCCCCCTCCTGAAGACCACAGGTTCTCTCCCGGGCCTGGGCTGCAGGCGCTGCCATGCATGGAGCTCCCCATCCCCAGCTATGCCCTGCCAAGCAGCAGCCTCAAACGCAGGCGGCGCAAATATTCCTACTCATGAAAAGATACTCCTGGAGCACCTCAAGGCAGGAGCATCTGCAGGTGGGGCACAACAACATAACTCACAATGAAACCGAAACATTAAAAAGCCAGGAAAGGCTCAGGTGACGCACGTGAGCGCCAGCACTGCTACCCCGGCACCGCGGGGCCTCTGCCCCGGAGAAAGCCCCGCACAGGCCAGGCCAGGCCAGGCCGCTTCTGCCCCAGAGCAAAGCACATGGGCCACATGTCTGTTCTGGTGCTTGACTTCTCCAGCACTGCTAAAACCTCCTTCGTTGAAAGGCCCTGTTTGCTCTGGTTTTCCTTCCTATGTTTGAAGAACTTTAAAAGAAAGTCTCTTCTTAAAAAAGCATTTAAGCTTTTACTTCTTAGCGCTCAAGCCATGGAGAACCTCGGTCTCTCAAAAATCTGGCTTCACCTTCCAAGCTTCCAGCTAGAACGCCAGAAGTGCCACTTCCCCTGGGTAGCTCTCTTGCCTTTCCAGATGGTGGGAGGAGGCAGCAGGCAGAGGGAGCAGCCACTCCCCTTGGCACTGCTGGCAGGGAGAAGGACACAGGGGCTGCCCTTCAAGGTGAAAAGGTGGTTCTGGCCGCTCTGTGCCCCCTCCGCCCATAATTTGGCCTCCAGGCGTGTGAGTGCGTGGGTCAGGAGGAGAACCAGCCGCCCATCCTAAACCATCCAGCGCCCCCAGCCAAGCATTCTCTTTCTGCCTGGGCCAACGGTGCCAGGACCACTTACAGCTTTTGCCTTGGCTCTGCTTGGCCTTTCCGTCTGAATCGTTGCTGCCCTCCGTGTCCACGGGAGAACTGCACCTCGGGCCCACGTCAGAGCTGAAACCAGAAAGACACTCAGGCCCCTGTGGCGTGGAAGCCGCTGCAGCAGCAGCAGTGGGCAGGCGACATGCTGCATAGAGCCCCAGCGGGACCAAGCACACATGGAGTGGGAGGCGCTTGGGGTGGGGACGGGGCAGGGTGGCCTTGACAAGAGAAATGCCCAGGAAGGCACACAGTACGGGCTCTCATTCAGTGTCACAAGAGGGAGCGTTTTTCTCTTGCGACCAGAACCAAAAGCCACATTCCTGCAAAGGGCCCCAGAAGCACCTTCTAAGCAGGCACTAGGCGCTGCTGCTGAGGGCCAAGGGAAGAGAGAGCCAGGTTGGCTGCAGAAGCACACAGACAGGAAGGGAGACTCCCATTGACACAGGAGAGGGTGACGCTCGAGGCACAGAGAGGCGAAACGATGGTCCAGAGGGGCCCGTGAGCTGCACCCGCAAGACACCTCTCCTGGCCTCCCATGTTCCAGCAGGCATCAGGCCTCTGTGGCTGGCACCCTAGCCCACTTACCAGCAGAAAGACTGGAAGTCAGTGAACTTGGCCCAGCCCCTCTCTTCGGGGGTTTTTGTGTCTGGCACTGCAGAGTCCCACACACTGGATCCGACATCCATGGCCACGCATGAGGCCGGGGGCTTGGCATTCACGGGCTCAAATGCTGCCGTCCATCCGGAGCCTACAGGGTGCAAGGGACACCAAGGCAAGCCGGTGCTACAGGCCCCCAAGCAGCCCACAGGCAGCCAGGTTGCCAGAGAAAGTATCTGCCTGAGTTGCAGGAGGAAGACCCGACTGCCTCGCCTGGCTGCAAAACTCCTGCACTGCAGGAGAGAGTGGACAAGCTGCAGGGACGGAGGGAGTCCTCTGGCGGCTGCCTCAGAAGGCTGCTCACGCATGAATTCAGAACAGGAGATGACGCCAAGGCTTCTGAGCAGCCTCATCCTGTGCCTGGGGCATGGGGAGGGAGCAGCGGCTGGCCCATGGCTCGTGCCGGACAGCTTTCAATATAACCCCATCCCACATGGGAGAGAGGAACACAAGAGGCCCCCCTCCAAGAAGCCCAGTCCCTGCAGAGCATGGACAACATGGCGGCCCCGGGCTGACCCCAGGCTGAGCTTGACCTGGTATCACCAGCTAAGCTAAGCTCATGATCCCCACTGCCACGACCCCAGCACGGCAACCTGTCCTGCTGCCAGCTGGTCAGCCGGAGACCCCTCTGGCTGCAAGGCTGCCTCAGCTCCCGTGCTTCTTCGGCATTTCTACCTTCTCACCTGTGTGCTCTCTGGCCTGTGGGCATTCCTGGAAGGGTGGGGTGGCCCTCCGTGCCTGTGTCACAAGCCTGCAGCACACCGAGCTGCATTGTCTGCTGAAAGCCGGCCAGGGTGGCCCCTTTGCTGCCACCTGGTCAGTCTGGTGCTCTGGGCACCGTCAGAGCCGCCTCCTTCCACAGAGGGGACTGGCCAGGAGTCCCTGTTTGCAGCACTCTCAGAGCCCTGCCCGGTTCCCCCCAACCACTGGGCAGCCCATCTCCTTTCATCATCTCTTCCCGCATGCCGCCTGGATGACGGGGAGGCACTCTAGGACTGCTGCCGAAGGCGAGCGCCGCATGCGGCTCTGTTCCTTTGCTCGCTCACTCGCAGCCGAGTGCCTCGTGCGGGGTGGGCGGCATGAGGCAGCCGAGCTCCGCTCCAACTCTCCAGCCTTCTGGAACCCGATGTCTCCAGGGGTGGCACCAGCGCTGGCAGAGCAGCTGCTCTCTGGCTGGGATCCCGAAACCTGGCCTCGTCTAGGTGGCGGTGGAAAGCTCCTACCTCCTTGAGCGGACTCCACGCCCGGGCTCGCTGAAAGGCCGCCACTGTCGTCAGAGTGCTCCGCCAGCTCCTCCTGGGCTTCCTCTTCCCCCAAGTCCACACTGCTCCCAGGGTCTCCGTTTTCCAGGTCACTTTTGGGTGAACCCTCAGAGGTATGAGACACCCCGAAGCTGAAACAGAGAAGCGGCAAAGCTAGGAGGCCCCACAGAGGCAGGCAGGGCAGCCCCCTCATCCCACTTGAGCGCTGCTTCGACCCGGCCTGGGCCCCACGCTTATCCGCAGAGCGACTCCTCTGAGAGCCTCCACCAGAATTCCCCAGGAAGCCCACGGGACGCCGGCACAGCTTCCCTCCTGGCCTCAGACAGACACCCTGCACCCCGGCACTGCAGAAGCCTCGCTCTGGACTCGCCTGCCGGCCTCACCAGTTCTTGTGCTGTCCATTGTTTTGCAACCATATAGAATGATACACACTTAACTATTTACATTGTGTGTTGTATTTTTAACTGTTCAACAGCATTTTAGCTGCTTAGCTATTTCTAATCTACCCGGAGGACGTTCATTACTTGGCAGATCAGAACGTGACGGAGGAATACATTTCAGGTCCAGCTTTTGCCAGAGCGTGCCACACAGCGACTGCAAGTGGCCAGCTGGAGGCGGGGGGGGGGCTGACCTGAGCAGCTCTGCACCCACCCCACCCCACCACGTCCCCCGCTCCAAGGCTGGAGGGGGGCTTGGGATCGCTGGACACCCACATTGCCCAGTGTGATGGTGCCCAGACCGGCTCAGCCACGCAGGAGCCAAGCCACAGCCCCCTCTCCCTGCAGGCCATTCCCGGGTCAGAGCAGGAAAGGCGGGCCAGGGGAACCCTTGGAAGTGGCTCCCAACAGCACACGCTCCCGCTACACTCAGCTTTCCCCTCAGGTAAGACCGGGTGGGGAGGGGAGAGTCTTTCCCCGTCGGTTTGAAAGTATCGCTTCACATTCGGTACGTCACACAGAAGCAATCAACTGCCAGAAGCCAGCACTGCCGGCCACAGCACAACCGCCAGGCCTGAGGGCTCAGGGAGACGGCCCTCTTGCACACGTCCGCCAAGGCGGCCGGCGGCTGGCTGCCCTTCCCGGCTTGGCTTCACCACAGCAGCTCATCCTCCCCTGGCGGGAGGCCTTCGCGGCAGTCGCCGGACCAGCACCCGAAGTGGACTCCGTGCCTCACCGTGTTCTGGCCTTGACTTGGGCTGCACAGCTGATCTCTTTTTCTTCCCAGATATCTTCCTCTTCCTCGTTATCACCAAACTGCTGAATCCGCTCACTGCAGCATGCCTCAAACAGGGATGTGTTGGGCTGCAACAAAGGTCGGTGCACATTAGCCCGTCCGGACAAGTGCCGGCAGCACAGTGCACAGGGGACCCACAGAGAAGCATGTTTAAGCTATGCGCTTAGTATCTCAGAACGCTGACGGTCTCGGGAGTGTGATTAAAAGGAAACAAACTGGAGCAATGATAACTCAAGGAAAGGGGTATTATATATTTACAGGAGACCCATCAGAAAAGGGACTTTAAATAAACATGGTCAGATATTGATGCAAAAGCCACTGGAAGTTCAAAATCAAGGGAAGTAGCCATTGTTATCTCTAAGAAAGCTGAGATTATGGTAAATGAGGTAAAGAAAGATGAAAAAGGAATATATTTGATTTTATACGAAGAAATAAGAAAACTATACATTAGTTAATATTTATGTCCCAAATGAAAATCAGGTATTTTTTCCTAAAAAGGACTTTAAGACATTGGAAATTGTAAAGAAAGGTTATGTAATATTGGCTGCAGTTTTCAACATGGTAACACATAAAACAAGGGTCCAGAAAGCTCGTATTAGAGGAAAAACAGCACAGTATTACATTTCTGAGTAAATGGCAAATGAAAATGGATAGAAAGATTTGTGGAGAGAATTAAATGGAAATGAAAAAAGATTTCCTTCCTGCTCCTCAGCTCACAAAAACTGTTCCAGAATAGATTATATATTGTATCTAAGGATTTGTTTGGTTAGAGTTTACAAATCGAACACTGGGTGATAAGGTGATGAATCGTGCTTTCGTACATATGGATTTTAGAATTAAATGTGATTATACAGAAAGTAAAAGATGGAGGATGGATACCAATACATTGCAATATAAGGGTGTAGTAGATAAAATGGAGAAAGAATTAAAGGAAACTTGGGAAAGGGTAGGGTAGTGATGAAGGCCTAGGATGATGAAGGTCTAGTATGGGATACAGTGAAAGCGGTTTTAAGAGGAAAACATGTCAAGGTTACATCTATATAAAAAAAGAAAGAAGAGTAAACAGATGGAAAATTTGGAAAGGGAAATAAAGCAATTAGAGAAGAAATATATTCAAAAGAGAGACTCAAGAATCCTAGTAGAAATACAAACTAAAAGAAAGGAGTTAGCAAATGTAGAAGTTGAAAAATATAGAAAAATCTTTTTATTTATTTATTTATTTATTTATTTATTTCTATGCTGTCCCGTTACTAAAAAAGGCTCTGGGCGGCTTACAAAGAACAAAAAGCCAAAGACTAAATCCACAACAACAATAACAATGCACAGCACACTGCATCTAAAAATAGTGATAAAAACAAGGATAAAACCAATTAATTGTTAAAATAGCAGGAAAATAAAAAGGTCTCCACCTGATGCTGAAAAGAATAGAGCGACGGCGCCAGGGGAACCTCCTGGGGAGCGAACTCCACAGTCGGGGCGCCACCGCTGAAAAGGCCCTTCTCCGAGTAACCACCCTCCAGTAGACACTGCTCACTGGGAAGTCCAAAAGGCTTCTGGCAAATTCCCTCAGCCAAGGCTCCCAAGCAAGCTTAGCAATCCTGAATAAAAGGGGGGTCCCTCTTAAGGAAGACTAACTGATTAAAAAACAGAAAGCAGAGAGTGAGACTAAATGGTACTTGCTCCCAGTGGAGCCAGATAATGAGGGGGCTCTGTATCACGGCCAACGGCTTCACCCAGTTCCTTCATGATCTGGCATTTCATCTGGAAAGTCTCCAAGAAACCGCCAAGCAGTGCTGGTCAGCGGGTTCCAAAAGGCTCAGCCAGGGACCCACACATTCGGGGTGAGCTCAGGAGCCGACCGCGGTTTCGTCTCCCTGCTGGGGCTGGGCCTTCCCACTTCCTGTCCTAAAGAGGAAGATCACTGCACAGGTTTTGGCGCATGACACGAAGAATGAGCGCCCAGGTGTGCCTGGAGAAGCCCCTCGCCGGCACTTGCCACGCTGGGCGGAGGAGGGCAGCCCGTAAGCAGAACTGTGGCGTTCCCGGCTGCCCTGAGGAGCTGTGGGCTTCTGAGACACGCGTCACAATCCAAGGCGGCCCGCATGGGAGGGCCTCTCACTGGCTGTCAGGATCACAGCTCCGGCTGCCCCTGGGACTATATTTGTGGCCCTGAGGTTCCAATGCGCACGCAGCACCACCACTTACACTGTCATCGTCGGCATCTATGTTGAAGCTGATGTCTGCAATTCGGTCAAAAGGTGCGCTGCAGAGGACAGAACGAAGCTTGTAAGTCTGCCTTCCCCAGCACGGTACCTGCGGATAAGCTGACTGCAGCTCCCATCATCCCCTGCCAACTAGCCCAGCCGTTAGCTTATGGGGGCACTCAGGCTGGGGGAGCCGGGGGGAAGGTCAGGGTTGAAGGGCCTTGGAATGCTCTCCGGAGGCAGGATGGGCGGGTGGGAAGGCAGGCAGGCAGGCAGAGGGGGCGAAGAGAGGCGCTGGTCTAGCAGCTCCCTCCCAAGCTGCGGCCAGGACCATCTTCCGCCGCTGGATCCTTTCTTCAAGGCATGCAAGGCAGGCCACGTGGGCCCCCCCTCCCTCCCAGGAATGTTATGTGGCAGGATCTGCCCACTGTTCGCAGCCTCTGGCCTGCCAGCACTGCCCCTGCCCTCAGCAGAGCCTGCACCTGATTGCAGGGCCTCCCGTCCGCACCGAGAGGCTCCTGGTGCTGAGCCAGGCCCTGCCTGCCTCCTTTTCCCTCTCCTGGATGAGGTAGTAGATCTGGGCTGGAGGTCGAGGGGAGACTCACTTGATACTGTCATCCTGGCCAGCAAACTCTTCGTCACTGAAGCCAAACTGATCCACAAAGTTGGCAGTCATCTGCTGGATCTGGTACTCCGAGAAGGCCTGCGAGCGGAAGAACTGCTGCCACTCCAGAGTCCTCGGGCTGCCAGAGCGCCACCCGGCCCAGCTGCCCCCAAGAGCGCCACGCGGCCTGGCCCGGAAGCCTTGAGCACAGCTCTCAGTGGGACTCGCGGGGCGCGAGCACTCCCTCCCAAACGGACACACAACTCCAGTCAGAAAGCGGGGTGCACTCCTCCACCTCCACCAATAGGCGAGGGGTGCACACGCTGTCCAAACTGCTTACGTAATCAGAACAGTAAGGGATAAAATCATAGCAAAGCAGCACACAGCAGAGCAGGTTATCAGCAAAAAGCCACCACTTCACACCACAGGAAAAGACTCGGGCAGAGGTGTTCAAAGCAAAACAATGCTGTTTTGGTGCCACAACAATGGTATCAGGCACACCTCAAGGGGGGAAGTCTTCAGGAGCCGGGGGCCAGAGCAGGACAGGCCCTGCCTTCCAGCGTGGCCCTCTACGCTCCAGAAGGCAGCCAGACCTGGAGCAGGAATTTGATCAGAACGCCAAATCGAGTTAATGGGGGTACTTGCAGTTCTACAAAGAACGGGGACCCTGAGCCAAGTCAACCCTTCGAATGGCTCCAATGAGTAGCCATGTAATGAACTCAGAAGCTCTCAGAAGCTGCAGGGCCGGAGCAAAGGGCCTCGCATGCAAACTCTCTGGCCGATTCAAAGCTGATTGCTTCTAAACAGCCACTTTAAATGTTGCTGTGAGCTAAAAACTGCTGGAGGAAGGCTTGAAGCTGGACCTTATTGCGAATTCGTAGTGTGTGCCCATTCTTAATTCCTTCCATGATCGTCACTTTGCCTGCATGAGCTGCCCTGCGAGGGCCGCAGAGCCTCAAAGGACAGTCTATGAATACGTAAAATGCAAGTGGATTGCCAGGAAGACGCCTTTGGCGAGCTGGCCCATATCGCGCTGACTAGCAGCGGCTCGCTGTGCTCCTCAGTGGAGAAGGGTCTCCTGCCATGGAACGTCCCGGGCCATCTCCTGCGGGCAGAATCCCAACCTTTGTGGACACATGCCACCAAGCTCACAGGAAGCTCTGCCTTTGCCCTTGGTGCAGTGATCCCTGCGGCACGGCCAGCTGGCTCAGAGAAGCACCTCACACATGCTGCAGAAGGAGAACCCCCATGGGACTCTCCCACACTGCAGCCCGCAGCTCACACGGCGGGACCTTCCTGAGATCACACGGGCTCCTCCAAGTCACCGTCACTTCGTCACCACACAAATGTCTGTGCAAAAGCCCCACCTCACACTGAGGCCCCTCCTGCCGAAGCCACCCCACACTGGCTGCATGAAGAGGTGGGGCAATGCCCCTGTGACCCTCCCGGGCAGGCCCACCAAGTGAGTCTGCCCAGCCACCCCCAACCGGCTTCCCCATCCCCCCTCAGCAGCCGCTGCCGCCCAACGCATCCTCCGCCAGACCAAGGGGACGCCCCGTGGAGGCCAACCAAGAGGCTACCTGCTGGAGAGAGAGCTCCGTGGGAAAGGCGGCCTCGGCGTCTTCGTCCTCACTGGAGGAGTGCAGGTGGTGGGTACTCACCTGAAAAGGAAGGACGACGCGCATGTGAGCAACCTGCCCCACCTGGTTCTCCCAGGCTCCCTTGGGAAGGAAGTGTCACGCATGCCAGGAAGTTCCTCAGGAAGTCCCCACCCCCAGAGATGGCTGGAGGCTGGAAGGAAGCCCACAGGCAGCTCACCAAGTCCACAGTATTTCGTCGGTTGGCCTCTGTCAGGGTCTCCTCCACAAAGCTCTCCCACCGCCCTCGGCAATCCTCAGGAAGCCCTGCAGAGAACGAGCAGACCAAAGCGCTTCGGTGCAGGCCACAGGGACAAGGACTGAGCCCACCCCAGGGGAGGGAGCCTGCTGCAGGAGGCCCAGAGGGACTCACATGTCAGCCTAGTCGGAAGGGAAGCCCCCCCCCCCCACATTGGCTCCTGCAGAGGAGAGGAAACAAGCACCGGCAAAGCAGAGGCTGCCGCGCGTCACTCCAAGGGCAGGGCGGTGACAGAGACATCAGCAGGAGGTGAGGGGATGCAAGGCAGAAAAATATGTGGCCCTGGCTGAGGCTGAACGCCAAGCAACTTTGTCGCACATCCATCCAGCAGGCTGCTTAGCGAGACGCAGGAATGTTTTGGCGATCAAGAAAAAATACATGGATTGTTCCCAAACTGTTTGAGTCAGGGGACACACCTAAAATTCGGAGAAAGTTTCACGCTGCTCTCCTAGAATGGCTGCCAGAGTGGTCATGGCAGGTCCCGAAACATCCGTCCCCGTCGCCTGCAACCCCAAGCATGAGAGAGAGGGGCATCCTAGGCTCCCACGCAGGAAGCCAGAGGAAGGATGATGCTGGAAGGCAGCAGGACGCTTTGCAGGACGCCAGGCTGCCACTTCAAGAAATGGGATGAAAAGAAAATCCGGAGGAGGAAGGAGGCCGGTGGGCACCCAGGTGGTTTCCTACGGGCAGATACAAGCCCACAGGTACCGCCTGGGAGACACAGCAGTGTGAAAACGAGGCCGAGCTGATTTAATCCTTTTCTTAAAGCAGTACCTAAGCAGACTGGGGCAAAACCAAAGTTTGCCTGGCACTGGAAAAAGCAGGTTGCTGACCTGTAACTGATGTTCTTCGAGTTCTTCTTCGAGCAGGCACACATATGGGTGCTGCGCCTGCGCAGTGCCTTTGGCCGGAAGATTACAAGCTAACGGTTTATTTTGGCGGGAAAGCTCCGCTCCCCCTCCCCCACAGCCTATAAAGAGCGGAGCGTCCGCCATTTTGTTCAGTCTTTGACGACCAAACAGATGCCCCCATGTGGAAAAAAATGATTTCTAAAATGAGTTCTACCGTGAACAGTATCGGTACCAAGAGAACAATGAACAATATCGGTACCAAGAAATAATGATAACATTCGATAACGACAAAGGTCCACTCACCAACACCGAGTGGGGCCGGCGGGTAGGTTGTGTGACTGCACAGATGGCCACTCGAAGAACATCAGTTACAGGTAAGCAACCTGCTTTTCTTCGTCGTGGCCTCTGTGCATCACACATATGGGTAGATTAACAAGCTTACCATAATGGAGGAGGGGAGATGTCCTCAACGAAGAACAGATGAAAGAACGGCTCTGCCGAAGGAACATTCCTGTCGAGCACGGACGTCTAAGCGGTAATGTTTGGGGAAAGTGCAAGGGTTCGCCCAAGTAGCAGCTCTACATACATCGTCAGTCGGTATTCCCGATGCGAAGGTAGATGAGGCAGCCACAGCCCTAGTCGAATGGCCTCGAGGGGTTGTGGGCAAGTCGATGTTAGCCAGTTGGTAAGACAAAGTGATGGTATGAACTATCCACTTAGAAAGTCTCTGCGGAGTAACAGGGGTGCCTTGGTCCCTGGTAGCATATTTAACGAAAAGTCTATGTGAACATCGAATAGACTCAGTCCTGGATCTATAGAAGGCTAAACAGCGCCGAACGTCAAGTGAATGTAGTGACCTTTCTAATGGAGTAGACGGAGCCGGAAAAAAGGCAGGTAAAATAATATCTTGTCCCATGTGAAAAGGTGTGGACACCTTAGGCAGAAAAGATGGATCGAGCCGCAGGACAACCTTTTCTCTATGAAAACTGAGATATGGTGGGTCTACACGTAGAGCGCAGAGCTCGCTGGCCCTCCGGGCCGAGGTAACCGCAACTAGGAATGCTGTTTTCCATGTGACAAGATGTAAGTCGACTGTTGCCAACAGTTCGAAAGGAGCTCTCGTAAGCGCTTGCAGAACAACAGAGAGACTCCAGGTGGGCATTATTGGTCTGATCGACGGGTTCAGATTACAAAGTCCCTTCAGAAACCTTTTAATAGGAGGTTGGGAGAAAACAGACGAGCCGTCCACCATACCACGATGATAGGCGACGGCCGCCGTATATACTTTAATCGAAGATGGTTTCAGTCCAGAGCGGTGTAGTTCTAAGATGAACTGAAGAATCTGAGGTATCGATGATGTAAATGGAGAGAATGAATGAGAGTCAGCAAAGGTAGAGAAACACTTCCATTTAGCTTCGTAAGACTTCTGTGTAGAAGGCTTTAAAGCAGAGTCCAATATGTATTGAATGTCCAGATGAAAGGTTGTCGGAGTCGATGGCACAACAGTCGGATCCGACAGTGCTGGAGCAGCGCTGTCCCCAGCGGATTGGAAGCTTGCAACTGTAGTGGATTCGAAAGTAGGATTCGGACCATTTAAAGCAGTCGTCGGTGTAGACCTAACGAGGACAGTAGCGGATTCAAAGGTAGGACTCGAACCACTTGAAGTAGTGGTTGGTATAGACATAATGAAGTCAGCTATTGGATTCGCCATGCTGTTAGTTTCAACGATAATATATATGGGTGGCGAAGTGCACCGTCTTGCTGGGTTATCAGGTACGGGAGCGGTGGAAGATGTAGGTATTCCCCGTGAGAAATGTCCAGCAGTGTGGGAAACCAAGGTTGGCGTGGCCACCAAGGAGTAATTAGTATCCCTGTGGCCCGATCGCAAACAATCTTCGCTACGACTTTCATCACCAGCGGAATCGGTGGGAAGGCGTAGAAATTCAGGTTGTTCCATGGAATCATGAAGGCGTCCCCTAGGGCTCTGTACCCGATTCCCACTCTCGAACAGAAAGTCGCACACACTTTGTTCTGTTGGGTGGCAAACAAGTCCACGTCAGGAAACCCCCAGCGATGGAAAAGGTCGTCGCATGTCTGGGGGTCCAGTTCCCATTCGTGAGAGATGAGCATGCACCTGCTGAGAAGGTCTGCTTCCACGTTGTCCATACCGGCCAGATGGACTGCTATTATCGTAATGTCTCTCAAAATGCACCAGTCCCAGATCTGCACAGAAAGTCTGGCCAGGGTCGGAGACTTCGTCCCACCTTGCTTGTTCAGATAAAAAATGGTGGCTATGTTGTCCGACGTTATCTGAACAACCCGATGTTGAAGAACATCTTCGAAAGAGCATAGAGCTTTGAATACGGCCAACAATTCTAGGAAGTTGATATGATTCATAGATTCCTGATGAGTCCACGTGCCCTGAGTATACAGGCTGGAGCATACCGCTCCCCAACCTAGAAGAGACGCGTTGGTACCGACTGTTATCGATGGGCCTTGGGGACTGAAGGGGACCCCAACAGTCAGATTGGCCGGGACCGACCACCATAGTAGGGAATGGAGCACCGAGAATGGGACTCGAAGGAGTTTCAACGGTGGATCTCTCTGTGGGTGGAACACTTTGTTGAAAAATAGCTGCGAAGGACGGAGTCGCAGTCTGGCGTGTGGCACCACCGCAACGGTGGAAGCCATATGTCCTAGAAGCCTCTGGATGGACTTCGCCGGAACCAATCTGTCTCGTCGCATTCGATGAACAAGGCAAGCGAGAGTCAGTTGTCCGTCCCGAGGGAGGAACGCCTTTTCCAACGTCGAATCCAAGTGGGCTCCGATGAACGTAAGCTTCTGTACCGGAAGGAGAGAAGATTTCTCAGTATTAATGCAAAGGCCTAGGTTGTCCAATAAGGCACAGGTAATATGGATAGAAGTGAGAAGCGCTTCCCTGGACCTGGAGACCAGGAGCCAGTCATCAAGGTAAGGATAAACTTGTATGCCCTGGAGGCGTAGGTAAGCGCAGACAGGGGCCATGCATTTAGTAAACAATCTCGGAGCGGTGGCCAAACCGAAGGGTAAAACCATGAATTTGTAGAAATTGGAGGCAACAGCAAAGCGAAGGAAACGCCTATATTTGGGATGGATTGCAATATGAAAATAGGCATCCTTCAAGTCCAGTGAGGTGAACCAATCCTCTTTCCTAAGCAGCGGCAAAATATTTTGGAGGGTGGTCATTCGAAACTTCCTCGTCACGATGAATCGATTCAGACTACGTCAGTCTAAAATTGGACGTAGGCCACCGTCCCGTTTGGGAACTGTAAAGTATCTAGAATAGAATCCGTGAAGTCCGTCATATTGAGTTAGTTGACGAATCGCTCCTTTACGAAGAAGTTGTTGTATTTCATTGAGCAGTACTGGTGAGCAAGATGTAAACCGAATCGGACTTGATGGAGGAACGGTATCGAATTCCATCCTATAGCCGTGCTGTATGATAGATAATACCTATCCATCAGATGTGATGGACTCCCAAATGGGGAGTCGGCTTCGCAGCCGGTCCCCAGATGAGAGGGGGGTGGGTATAGGATAGGGTAGAGGAATGGTTCGCCAGTCCCGTCAACGCTGCCCCCTGTTGTCATATCGGTGGCGGCCCTGCTGGTAGCGTTGCTGGGGCTGTTATCAGCGGCATTGCTGTTGTTGCTGCTGCCTGTGCTGAGGCTGTTGCCTGGAATGATAAGGCTGTCTGTAGGGCGGATGGGTCCATGGCCACTTACGCCTCGGTAGCAACTGGAGCTCCATTCGTCGGGCCGTCATGCAGGACTCATGAAGTTTTTTGAGTTTATGGTCCGTTTTCGAATGGAAAAGCCTGGACCCTTCAAAAGGCATTTCCTCGATACGCCGCTTGATCTCTTTGGGAAAGTTGGCACTCCTCAGCCACGCATGCCTGTGAAGAGAAACGGCACCGACCAAGGCCCTTGGTGCTGTTTCCAATTGGCTGTGGACAATTGTTGCACCGCGACATGCATCGCCTCCTTGATCAAGACTTTGGCCAATTCGCCTTGTTGGTTTGGGAGGGCCAAGACGACGTTGTGGAGGCATTGCATTATAAAATACTGGTATCTCGCCAACGTCGCCTCGTAGTTTGAGCTACGCTGCCCCAAGTCTGAAGCTGCGTAGACCCTCCTGGCCAGGGAGTCGATCTTGCGGCCCTCCTTGTCTCGCGGGGCGGTGTGGCCCCTTGCCTCTCTACCCTGGGAGGACTCCACCACGACCGAGTTCGGCATGGCGTGTCGGAGGAGGAATGGTATGTCCTCCTCCCGAACCCGGTACATGGCTTCGTACCTCCGCGATGTTGGTTGAGGGTGAGAGGGCAAGTCCCAGGGCTGCATCATCGCCTGCTGGAGGGTGGTGATCAGGGGCAGGACGATGGAGGTGGACTGCTCCCCGTGGACGACGTCATAGATTTTATCCGTAGACGGTCCTGGGCGCTGGACGGCGTCGATGCCCAGGGACTGGACGAGCCTGGACATCAGCTCCGCAAAAGAGAGGTGCGACTCATCACGTGATGCAGGACCCTGGGAGGTCACCGTGACATCGGGAGAGGTGGAATCGACGTCCAAGTCATCGGAGTCCGCGCCGTAATGGGGGGGGCCGAAGAAGAGGACTCCACTGGCGAGACGGACCAGCTGCTTTCCTCCCGGGGAACCGGGGATGTGTGCCTCGGATCCAGCGGCAGTGGGTGATCGCGAGAGCGTGGTGGGGACCGATCCCTCGGCGTGGGATAGTACCCGGTCGAGTATGGCTCGCCCCAAGATGGGTAGTAGGAGCAACACCAGTCCTCGAATCGCTCGGATCGCTGCCCCCTGGAGCGACTCTGGCAGGCCCTGGGCGGGGATTCAACCACATCCGCCTCCAGTATGGCCATGGCCATGGGCGTTGGTGACCCAGCCCTGGGGGGGGGGAGTCTTGAATTTCCCCGTCAGAGATTGACCCCTGCTGGAGAGAAGGAAGCGGCTCAGCAGGGAGGTCAGCCACATGATGGGGAGACCCTTGAGGGGTGACCCTCATGGCTGCCTGGAGTACCGGCTCGGGTGGAGTTGGTACGGTGGTCAGTGCCGGTACCGACGCTGTCGTCGAACCCGAGATGCGGTGTCGGGGCCGGTCCGGATCCCTCAACTTCTGGGCCGGTTTAGGAGGCTTCTCTGTCCTGGCCTTCTCAGCCGATTTGTCGGCATCGGCGTGCTCGCGCTTCTCACGTTTCTTTTTGGGAGAAGCTGGTGGGGCCCTCAAAGTAGAGGCACCCTCGGCTGACGGGCGCGAGGGCGGGACCACCGTAGCCAGGCCAGGCTTCGGAGCGGCGACGAGTGGGTCGGACTGCCTAAGAGCCCGATCCCACAGGAGCCTCTGGAGGCGGTTCTCCCGATTTTTCCTGGCCCGCTTGGAGAAGGCCAGGCAATGGGAGCACTTGTCGGTCCTATGCCCCTCCCACAAGCAGAGGAGGCATGGGTCGTGCGGGTCAGATGGTGACATCTTCGACCCGCATTCCGCACATTTGCGGAAAGCCGCTTGCTGCACCATCGCAAGAAGAGGAAAAGAAGGAGACAGTGCAGGGGGTAAGAATATATTTTTGGGTTTTTTTTTTTTTTTTTTTAGAAGAAGTAAGAAGGTAGAACGATAGAACTGTAGAAATAACTAGAGCTAACAAGAACTATCAGGGATATAAAAACTGGGAGTTAACAATAAGAAGAGGAAAAATAGGCTACAAGTAACAATCAAAGCGATAGTCGAAAGCGGCACGAGGCACAGTGAAAGGCGGCCGCAAAGACTGAACAAAATGGCGGACGCTCTGCTCTTTCTAGGCTGTGGGGGAGGGGGAGCGGAGCTTTCCCGCCAAAATAAACCGTTAGCTTGTAATATTCCGGCCAAAGGCACTGCGCAGGCGCAGCACCCATATGTGTGAAGCACAGAGGCCATGACGAAGAAGGTGGTAAACACTGGGGTAGGGCAAGGCTTCAGGAACGGGGAGCCACCGCCAAGAAGGCTCTGCCCTCGCTCCCCACCTGGCCTCTCCTCCCGGAGCAGGAAGCCACAGCAGGGCACCCAGAGAAGATCTCGGCATCCCGCCAGCCTCATGAAGGAGCCAAGCAGGCAGCCCTTACCTGTGCTGGCCCTGAGCCACAGAGGCCAAGCCCAGCAACACTGGGAGCACATACTTGAAAGGCGTTCCAGTCCGGGATAAGGCGGCAACACTTGTCCCGACAACTTGAATCTGATCCAAGCGCAGCGCTAAGTGTGAACGCGAAGCTGAGGGAGGGGAGCGGCCCCAGAACCCCTGCTCAGTCCGACCCGCAGCCTACCATAGCTCCACCCGGCCCAGGGCCTGTGCACAGCAAAGCTCTGCGAGGGAAGGGGCTGGGCTCCCAGCAACCCCACCGCGACCGCCCCCCTCCGCGTGGCCCCCGCCCCCTTCATCCCAGCTCCCCTACCTTTAATAAACGAGCCGATCTGGGTCTGCACAGGGCCCTTCTCCATGTTTTGTGCGACCGTGTTGGCGATCCGCGTGAGGTGGCCCATGTTGCCTCGCCTCATTCCTCCTCCTGCCCTGAAAGAGGACGGAGAGGAGCAGGTGTGCGTGAGAGAGTCCGAGAAGGGTTACGCCAGAGCACCAACCCGGCGGCAGGAAGCCGCCAGGATCCATTGCACCACGAGGCTCACTGGCTTCGAGGCAGGAGAGGCCACTCCCCGCTACAGGCATGCTCTGCCTTCGTCCTCCAAGGAGCCCAGAGCAGCGGGCATGATCCCTCCAGGTGCAGTGAAGCACCGCAGGTGGGCTGGCTGCCACTCGGGCCATTTTCACACGGGGAAGGCTGAACGTCTCCGGGGAGCCCCGGCCGTGCTCACAGGCAGGGCCAGGCTGAAGCCTTTGTGGCTGCGAAAGACTCGCCCAGAACCGCGGGGAGCCGCTGTGCGTAGGGGAGGCAGTGCTGCGCCGGGCAGACCGTGGGCCGAGGGGGGTCAGGGGGCCCTCTCTGCTCCTGGAGATTCCAGCACAGCTCCCTCTGCCATGCAAGCTACCCGATCATCGGGAAACCGAGGGCTGTCGGGAAGCTGTCAGGATCCACGAGCCTCATGGCGGAAAGGGAGTGAAGTAGCTGCACTGTTCCTGCTTCCCGACTCAAGCCTCCACAGCCACCCACCCGCAACAAGGAGCGCACGATCCTTTTTGTGTGAGCAGTCCAAATCCACACTTCCCGAGGCTGAGCAGCCTTCCCTGCCCTCGTGACCCTCCTCCTCTCGTCACGCCCTCCCCCTCCTCTTTTCCCCCTCCCAAACTCCTCCCTCCCACATCCACCAGGCCAGCAGGGACAGAGAGCCCTCAGGACACCCCAAGCACCCGAGGGAGAAAGGTGGCTCTGAGCAGGTGGCCCCAGGAGGAACACCTGCCTGAGAGAGCTTGGCTGGGGAAGGCCACCCCTGGCTGGAGCAGCCACTTCTGGGCTACAGACATGCCGGAGTCCACTTGTACCTTGGCACGGGGACCTAGCTGAGCCACAGGCCTCCATGCACAAGCCGTGGACATGAGGGGGGCCCAGCGTGCGGAGGGCCACTGCACACGGGTTGGCAGCCTTACTGTATTTTGTCATTGGCTTCCCAGGCATCCAGGATCCTTTGCACCAGGCAGCACTTCTGGAACAGCTGGAAGAGGAAGAGAGGACAAGCACATCAGGGCCAGATTGACAATAAAGCCCAGTGGTTAGAGGACAGCTCTCGGGTTTCCAGCTTCCAGCAGCTACCTGGACGGACGTGTGCCTAGACACACACGCACACACAAATGGTGGCAAGGCCCAAGCATCAACACGGACCCCCATCCCAGCCCCCAGGCATCTCTGCTCAAACCTGATGCCACTGAAACCCAATGCTACCGAAGAGCTGGCCGGCATCCTTGCCACCATGACCCCGGCACCTGCTGAGCTGGCATGCCGCCACCGCCCATGGCCCTCGGAGGAGCCTGGCAGCCAGGCCAAGCGGGGAGGAGCCCGCCCGGGAGCAGCAAGCATCCTGGGAAGCGCGCAAGGACTCGGCGGAGACCAAAACTGAGCCCTTGCCCCTCCGTCTGCTGGATCCTGGCTGCGGGGAAAGCACCCGAGGTGCGGGGAAGGAAGGCCAGCAAATCCCCTCCTGCGTGGTGCCACTTCCTCCCCACCGTGTCCTCGCTCTGCAGCTCTACGGCTAACTCAGGCACTGCAGAGATCACCGGGGCACTCCTCCTCATTTGCTCGCGAGGGAGACGCAGCCGAGCGCACGTTAAGAAAGCACCCCTCCGCAGCGGCACCGAGGCCATCGAGTTCAGCTCCTCGGGAAGCAGGAAAGCCAAAGCGGGAGCAACCCCAGAACTGCCTGACCAGCCTCCACCCGACGCTCTCCAGCAGGACAGACGTTTCCCCTCGTGCCTAACGAAAACCTGCCTCTCCTGAAAGCTACACCTGCTCCTTCTATGGCCCTTTTCCTGGGACTTGGCCTCTAGAGAATTGCTGCCACGCAACTCCCCGCTCTGGCTCTCTTCTCCATGCTCTGCACGCCCAGGGCCTTCCGACTTTCCCCAAAGGCCTGGCTTTCCAAACCCTCACCATCTTCCTCTCTCTGCTATGAACTGGCTCCAATTTGCCTCTCACAGTGCGGCATCCAAACCTGGGCACAGGTCAGTGCCCCACGTTTCTTGGGCATGTGACCACCTTGACATTTCTGGACAATGAATGTATTGTGACCTGGCACTGGATTCCAGCATCAGACTCTTAAAACGGCTACTTCGCCTCACTGTGATAATCATCCTACCTAAAAAGCTGGCACATTGTTAGTGCGGATCTGGGCTCAGTCTGGGATCAAACAGTGCAAAGGTGATGGGGGGCCACCCCACCCGGCGTGGGCCACAGGGGTACACTCTGCGGCAACTGCAAAGCAGCCAGTGGAACACCTGCTTTCAGCTGCCCCGGCAGGGGGAACGGGAAGGAACAGGCTGAAGACAGAGGGAGACAAGCCCAAGGCACAGGAGGGGACCCGAGACATTCTATTCGCGTTTTAAAGAGGTCCCCCTTGGCCTTCGCCGGGATGTGGCGAAAGGGGCAGACCAGCCCCCGGAGAGGCTCTTCCTGGCATGCTATGCGCTTTCCCGAGGGCCCAAGAGCAGGCGACTTTCCCTTCTGCTAAAGCCCCATCCATGTTCCCACTCAACAGAACGGCCTTACGTGGGTCACCATGGGGTTCTCGGAGCGGTCTTTCTCTTGTGCGTCAGAGTTTTCGGATGACAAGTCTCTGGCTGCTCCCTCCTTATTTTCCATGTCACTTGGAGCAAATTTCGGTTCATTTACAGAAGGTGCCAGGATGGCTGCAATGCATAATTCCACTTGGAAATGCAAGAAATTATTCCAAGTATATTGAAAAAACAGGTCCTGAAACAAAAGTGGGAGGAAAACAGTGTTTGCTCAAGACTTGATTGGTCCTTTCGGGGTAAAGGATTGTTTCCCTCTGCCTGGATTTTCTGTAAAAACTATCCAGGAAGACGAGCAAGCAGGAGCCAACCCTTCCCGCAGGAGCGATTCCAGGAACACCAAAGGGCACACGGGCTTGCTTTGGCTTTGGCTGCACGCGGCGAGCAACCCCCTCGCTTGCTTGCTCGCTGTTCACCAGAAGGCAAGAACAGCCACGCCTGGCTCATCCGGGCCAGCTGTCCACTCACACAGGGATAAATCAGCCACCCAGCGGGACGAGTACGAGCGCTGCTCTGCACTGAAGCACGCGGCACGCTGCCTCTGCTCGCAGAGGTCACACAGTCTCTCCTCCATGGATCTGTCTGTCTCCTTTAAAAGCCATCCAGGTTGGTGGCTCTCACCATTTTCTTGTGGCAGTGAGTTCCACAGTTTAAAGATGCGCACTGTGAAGAAGCGCCCCCTGCTCCACTCACCAGCAGCAAGTCGATCGTGTTCAGCCGGCAGAGCTCCTGGTTAATACTGGGTGTGTTGGTGTGGAGAAGGGCAGCTATCAGGCGGGCTCCATGAAGACGGGCGTTCCCTAGTGGCTCTTCCAAGACCCCGATGGTAGTCAGGATGGAGGCCGTCTGTCACACGCAAGAGAGGAGGACCCACATCACAGGCCAGACTACCGCCATGCATAGCAAGAAGACAGGTCCGTCCACCCCACACTGTGACCCACAGCAAGGCAGCTGGTGCGGAGCATGCCAAGGGCACAACTGCAGGGCTCATTCTGGGCAGAGTGAGTCAAGTGGAACAGAAGCCTCCAGCAGGCGTCTGCAGCCTTCTGCCTGTACAGAACTGAGGTGCACCCTGGCACCCATGCTGCTCCGAGCTTCCATACAGCCTGAAGTGCCTAATCCTGCCTAATCTCGGAAGCTGGACAGGGCTGGGCCAGGCTGACATCTGGATGGGAGACTCAAGACCTGCACTGACCTGGCGGCTGGACATGCTGGCCTGCTGGACCCCTTCCAACTGTTCTATGATTCTCACACACGACCACAGGGAAGATGAAACAGGGAGATTAGCAGCTGCAGAAGTTGGGAAAATCTTTTGGCTTTCCTTCAGATGAAGAGCTTGACACCACTCAAAAGCTTGCATGACCTCGTGAAATAACAGAAGCCACCACTTTGGCTTCTTTTCCTCCAGAGATCTGGTTCGCACGGAAGAACAGCCCATCATGGGCGGATTTTATCCTAAAATGGCCATGGGTATGAGAGGGCTGCTCAACCCTCCAACAATGCCTGCCAGTCGTGTTTGAAGAACACAACAGCTCTGGGGGGGTGGGGGGCATATTTTCTTCATGGTGACTGCCATGCACTGCAACTTCTCGAGGGGTTGCTCAAACTGGCCCGGAGTCAGCCTCCGGTTAAACCGCAACGTCCCACAATGGAGCTCCAAGGTGAGGGAGGACGTCTCCAAACAGCAAGAGCACCTCTGGGTTTCCCAGCTGATCTCTCCTGCACTAGCAAGATTGGAATATATCTGGCCTTCCAGCCACAGACCCTCAAGGAAACAGACCGGCGTGCTGGCGGCCACCCTGAGCACGGCAGTGCAGATTCTTCATACCTTGGGAGGGTGAAGCAGTAGCTGGTGAAAGTCGTTCAGCCGCGGCTCAATGCCACGCAGGATGCTGCTGTTGACAGTGTAAGACCTTTCAAATCCCTGAGAGGAGGAGTCCACCAGCCCCTCGATGCTGCGGGCAGGAAAACAAGCCGTGATCAAGGTCTGAACGGAGCAGGGCCAGCACACAGGCGGCTTGCCGAGGACGAGCCCCCACCCCGTCTACACCCGTGCACCTCTTCAGCTGCTGAGCCACACTCCAGTTTCTTTAGAGAATTTCTAAAGGAAGCTTAGGAAGGAGGTTACAACTGAAAATAAGACTACAAGAAACGACAGGACTCTAGAACAAAAATACATACCATCACAGAAAAAAAAATCCAGGTTTAGAGATGAACGACAATGTCATTTACTTTGTTAACCATTTGAAAAGTTAATCACATTCACAATTCCAGAAACAAGCAGTAGAATATAGTTTAAGAATGGAAACACTAATGGGACCAAGGTGAAGCAAGCGTGAAACTGCAGTTTAGATAATGTTTGCAAGGCTGAACATTGCTGGTTCTTTCATTGCGATCCAGCACAGCCACCCATGCGCGTTCTGAAGCACACTCAGGCACAACAGCAGTGCTCTGCTGAACCAGATCCAAGGACTCTTCAGACCAGCCAGATGCCCACAAGAGGATCATGAGAGCAAGTTAGCATCCTCCCACTCAAGTTGCCCCAGCAAATGCTGTCCAGCAGGTCTTCTGCTCTGGAGCCTCGAGGTAACGCAGAGCCATCGGCCATCAAGAACTGCTATCTGCCCTGACCTGCCCAATACCAGTTTCAGTGCTAAGTAACTTCCCCAAATACTCAGAGAACTGCTCCAGCTCCCCCATCACAATTACACCCTTTCCGGCACTTAATGCTTTTAGGTGCAAAGACCAGGACTAGATCCAACATTCCAAGCTTAACTGCACCTGGAGAGGTGTGTAGAGCCATTATGATATTGAAAGCTTTATGTTCAATTCCATTTTCCAGTTGTAATCAACATGAAATTTCCCTTTAAGAGAAGGGCAGCCATATAGAGGCTGACGTTTTCATTAAGCAAGAACCCCAAGATCCCTTTCCTGAACAGTCGCCACTAAATAAATCCCTATCTGAACATGCTGCCACTGTTGTTCTGTGCTGTCATGCCTTGTGTGAGTTATGGTCACCCTATGACTGGGCACTGTCCAAATGTCGTGTCCCTGAAGCCCAGCCTAGCCTTCGTAAACGCAAGACGGCGGCTTCCTTTAAGAAGCGGATTCATCTCATGGCTGGTCTTCCCAGAGCTGCTCCTGCAACACCAGGGGGTCGGACCCGATGGCCTCCATGGCCCTGTCCAACTCTACTAGTCTACGATTCTATGACGCCCCTTCTACTTCTGCGTTTCCTGGTGTAACTGCATTCTCCAGTGAATCTTGCCTTCTCAGGATGGGCCTGAAATAGGACAGCTTTACTTTTGACTGTTTGGCTTCCACAGAAAGCTCTGCTTTGATTTGATGTAAAACCAACTGGTTCATCTTTCTGCTGCTCCAAAGGATTCCCAGCACTCTCCTGTGGCACCATGTTCTGAACACACTGATTTTCTTCCAGTCAGCTCTCTTCACCATCCAGCTGTCACACTCATACACAATGATGGAGAACACAGTGTGGCCAACCTTGGCCTTGGCCTACACTGAAATGTCCTTACACTGGATGGATGTTTCTTACCACCCAAGTCTCAGGCTTCTTTGAATTTCTTGGCTGCCATCACCCTTTGAAATGATGTCTGAACCAAGATATGCAAAACTTTTCAGTTACTATTTCCTTGTTATGTGACAGTGGAGTTCCACAATTTTTCTGTAGAAATGATTTTCTAACATTCAGCTGAGGTCCTGCTTTTGCACTTTCTTCTTACACTTTCATTGGGAGTCATTTCAATTTTTCGCTGTTTTCTGCCCGTTATTAATGTGCCTTCTGCCAATTTTCACACCTTCTGTTGATCCTAATCCAGCTTCTCATATGTTCTTTGTACATATTGATCAACAAGGGAGATAAAAATAAACCTTTGTCTGATGCCACGTCCTGTAAGAAACACTTCTGTTTCTGCAAACTGTGTCCCGACAGAAGGATAAACGAGTTCTGAGGGCCACTGCTTCATTTGTTTCACATACTTGTTGGCAAATTCCTGTTGAGATTTGGCCAGAACCGGTCCCTGCGGATTCCAGTATTTCTGCTGGCGCCCTATCTGCTCTGGGGGCTTTATTCCTCCCAAGTGCTTTCCATGCAGCTTTCACTTCGGTTTCTAACAGGTTGCAGATTCGGTTGCAGGTTCTTCTCATGGGATTCTTCCTTGAAGGTGTTTGCCACTGTGTTCTCTTCTCTGTAGTTCCCCTGCTTATCACTTCCACCTTTGTTTTCTCCTGGTCAGATAGTATGTTCCCGTTGGCCTTTTAACATTTCTAATCTAGACTTCAATTTCCTTTGGATTTCTTGGACCTTCTGGGAGAGGTCTTGCTTTTCCTCTTTTGCTCTATATCTTGCAGCCCATTGAAATCATTCTTTTCGTCTCTACATAATAGTTGCTGAAAAGTTGCATTCAGGCTTTTGACACTATTTCTGTCACGCTTTGCTTTTGCTTCTTTCTGTCCTTAGCAATTACGAGTGTTTCTTCCATCACCCACCTGGGTTTTTTCTTTCTCTGTGCTACAAGAATTGTCTTTTTGAATTCCTCCCCAATAGTGTCTCCAGGTTCAGCCCAGAGGTCTTCTAGCTAAAGGTCAATTGAATTCGACAATGCAAATCTCGTTTATGCGAACTTTAAATTCCTCAGGAATGTTAAGCTGTACACTGGCACTGTGCCGCTGGCAGTGAGCTTTTTCAGCTTTATGCTGCTTTTTCAAGTATTAATAGTTCTATTCCTACTCTTGTTTTGGCAGTGGGAATATAACCTCTGTATGTTCCACTTCAAATTATGTGCTCACTTGATTTATCGGTCATCTCATGATGTCAATACATGCAGTCATCGGATTGGTTGCCCAAAGTACGCATTTGCAATGAACAGATGGGTGGCTTTATAGAATTCTGTGCACCGTTCTCCTGCCTCGTTTGCTACCCCCAGGCCAAATTGTCCCACACTGGATTCTGCTCTCTTTCCTACTCTGGCGTTCCAGTCCCCAGTGATGATCAGCACGGTTTCCAGTTTGCCTCGATGCAAACTGCCTTCTGACGTTCCATGACCCAACTGCATGCGATGTGCACAATCGGACCCCTCTGCAGCACTGACCAGAGCTGGCTTGAGTGCCACTGCTGTTGCCTGTGGAAGATCCTCCGCCAGTGTCGCCTTCGGCCGCCGCCGCCCAGAAGCTGCCCCTCGGGAGTTTCTCCACCCCACCCCCATGACGGAGATCCATGCTCTTCTGCCGATCTGGCCACCACTCGCGAAGTGGGTGGAGGCATCTTAGCCAGGTGTCTGAAACTTGACCACTTCGTCGTGGATGACCCCACTAGACGACCAGGCTAGTGAGACAGTGCGGCATACTAGACCCTGCCGTCTGAGAGGCACTGCTCTTGGCTTCTCCAACCCTTCACTATACTGAGATGTGAATACGACTCGTGAATTCCATCCTTCTTTCAATTCACCCAGAACAAATATGAACCTGGCACCTCCCAAATCCTGCGGATTTTTTAAGCCCTGCACCCACCATTTCTGAGCCCTCTAGTACTGGCTGGGACATGCTACATACTTTTGCTAAGAAATCAGTGCTCTTTAGATGGCTGCATTTAGGCTGGGTGATTTGCTTCCAATTTGCCCATAAGGTCTAGGGCAGGGTTAGGGTTAGGGTTGGAGAACCCACAGCCCTCCTAATCTTTCGGGTTGCAACCCCTTCTTCCCACATTAGTAGATGCATCGGTTATGACTGCCGCGAGCTGCAGCCCAACATCTAGAAGACTATACGTTTTATTTCTTTATTTAAAGCTTTTCTATACTCTCCTATTACAGAGAGTCTCAGGATGGTCTTACAATAAAATAAAGTGAAGCACAGTATCATCCTCTAAAAAACCCCAATTAAAACAGTTTAAACCTAAAAATATTGGTAAAATAAAAAAGGTTTTGGCCTGGCACCAAAAAGAATATAAAGTCAGCACCAGATGAACCTCTCTGGGGAGCGCATTGCATAACAGGAGCGCCAGTGCAGAGAAGGCCCTTCTCCAGGCAGCCATCCTCCTAATCTCCTGCAAAGAGGGCTCCCAAAGAAGGTCCTCCACTCCAGAGCTTAAGGGGTGGGCAGGCACATAGGGAAGGAGATGCCCCTTCAGATATCCGGGCCCTAAGCCATTTAGGGCTCTATAGGGCATCACCAGCACCTTAAATTGGGCCTGGACTTCAACCGGTAGCCAGTATAGATGATAAAGGACTGGGATTATTTGTGCCTATCTGCCAGTCCCTGTTAACATCCGGGCTGCTCTATTCTGAACCAAGCGAAGTATCTGGACCCCATGTAAAGGGCATTACAATAGTCCAGTCAGGAGGTTACCAGGGCATGGGGCGCTGCTGCCAGGCTCTGCTTATCCAGGTAGGCAGTCCAGTTGATGAATCAACCAAGGCTGAAGGAAAACGCTCCTCACCACAGCAGCTACCTGGGACTCCAAGGACAGCTCTGGGTCGAGCAGCACCCCCAGACTGCGTGCTCCATCCTTTAGGGGGAGTGCAGCCTTGCCCAGAACAGGGCTAACATCACTCGCCCGGAGAGCCAAACCACCCCGCAACAGGACTTCCGTTTTGTCTGGATTGAGCCTCAATTTATTGGCCCTCATCCAGCCTATCACACCCGCCAGGCACTGGTTAAGGACAGCCACTGCCTCACCCAGATTAGATGTAAGAGAGAGGCAGACTTCAGTCTCCATGCCGAGGCTGGTCTGACCGGGGCGGCTCAGGACTTCACGGCCTCCATGGCGGCCATGGGGCTGCCTCAACATGTCACCGGCCCGACCCATGAACGTGGACACACTCTGGACCTGGTTTTCTCGACGGGGCAGGAAGAGGCTGATCTGAGGGTGAGGAATTTATGTTTGACTCCCCTGTCATGGTCAGATCACTTCCTGGTGAGGTTTGTGCTCGAGAGCGGC